AAGGCCAACCAACGGTGCACGCGCAGAATCTCCTCACCTCACACAGGTTGGTTCAAAGATGGACAAATACAGGCCTACAACAACCACACATGCCGCGCATGTAGAGAAAAACAGACAGAAAATGCGCGTTCAACCGAGAGACGCTACTACAAACTTGAATGGCGGCGGTACTGCAGATCTAGCTGCATACCTGAAGAGTTCGGGACCACCGCCAGGCATGGATGAGAAGCCGCCACAGAAGTTTGTAGGTGTGGGTCAGAAGGACCAGGCAGGATTTCTGAAATTTTTCCAGAGGAGAGGAAGTGTGAGAAAGTGATCGAGAAAGCGAGGATGATTGTGACGAAAATTCGGAGGGATCTGATTGAGCACTGAGTGCCGGGGATGTGATTAAAGATAACGCCGTTCGATGCAGAGCTGGAAACCATGTAGAAGAAAGGACAAGGGAATGTTACAATGGGCCGAAGATGTTTTTCTCTGCTGGAGCTGGATAGCCAAACGGCCAGGTCAATCTGTTCTGCTATGTAGATTAACGCCCAGGGCGCTGAGAGATTGTTAATACTACAGTACAGGGTATACAAATGTCCCATCCCACAACAGATACGAGGTAGTCCGTGGTTTGTCGCGTGCCTCTGCGCAAATCCAGGGGCTCGGAAAAGGGGGCTGCCTCTCACCGCCCACGTGACCCAAGTTTTGTACACAGTTTCTGCCACTCCTGAACAATTGAATTTCAAGTCGCCAGTTCTATCAGTTCGAGCAAACTTCCCACACGCTTCCTCCTACTGTCCCTTCCATACCCGGTTTTCTCTGCACTTGAGCCGCAGCGCGGCTCTCGTTTATTTTCCTTTTCTCTACCTCATTGTGCTCTTCGTCGACGGCCTGGGTGGTTGTCCGTTAACGCAATGAAGCGCCTCGCGGTCCTCTTCCTCTCTCTCCTCCTATATCCTTTCATCTCCTCTGCCTTGAAATTTGAACTCTTTGCCCAACCGGGACATAGCGCCAAAAACGAACGTTGTATACGGAACTTTGTGACAAAGGACACGTTAGTTGTGGTCACGGCGATTGTGAGCGGGAGTCGGGGCGACGGGCAGATGGTCAATATGCACATCAAGGACGCCGTAGGAAACGACTACGGCAGGCCCAAGGATGTTGCAGGAGAGAAGAGGATGGCATTCACGAGTTTGGCAGATACCGCGTTTGACGTGTGTTTCGAGAACACTTTGACTGGACGATGTAAGTGCCCAAAATCGCCTGTCAAATGCCGCTGCAGGACTACCTTATCATGCTAACAACTGGTTGAAGCAGCTGTTCCTAACCCTTCTCGCCACGTCGAACTCGATATTGATATCGGGGCTGACGCCCGGGATTGGTCTGCTATCCAAGCCAACGAAAAGCTGAAACCGGTGGAAGCGGATCTGCGAAGAATAGAGGAGACGGTCAATGAGATTGTCCAAGAGTTGGAGTATCTCAGGATCAGAGAGCAAAAGTTGCGGGATACCAACGAGAGTACGAATGAAAGGGTCAAATGGTTTGCCTTTGGGACTATGGGAATGTTGGTGGGTTTGGGAGCGTGGCAGGTCGTATATTTGAGGGCTTACTTCAGGTTTGTATTCCTTAATCGTATCTTGTGGTCGCGGTTGTTTGATTTGGTGTCTGCGTTGCCTTCGACCAGTGCTAACGAATGTTGTCATCTAGGTCGAAGCATCTGATCTAAATGGTTCTTCCTGTAATGGGTCCGCAACTTACGCCATGGTTCTGGGGTCTCTCATGGAATGTAAACGGCTGAGAGGAGGTTACCAAAGCTCACGGACGACCGAAAAGGGGCCATGTTTGTATATGGCTTTGTATGAGTTTTTCGAGGAACGGAGCACCGTCCCTGTAATACGAAAAGAAGGATCCTTGGTATGCCTACAGCAATGACAGAGGGCACGCCAGCATCGCTTGCGTCTCTCCGGCAAATTGGATCTGAGCAGAGTTTCTCACGCCGCCTTACCAGGAGGTATACCCAAATCTGAGGAAGTGTTGAGCAATGAAAGGAGCCCTCCCTGCCCTATCCGACCCGAAGATTCTACTCGGCATCCCCGCCGGGCCGGTCGCATACAGCTCTTCTCAATTCTTCAGGTGAGATGAGAAAGCTCTGAGCATAGATTCGCTGAAGCAGTCTGTCGCAGCGCAATTCAGAAAGGTGTTTCGTCCAGTAAATGCAACAAGAGGCCAACCACTTCGGCTTCAGTTCAATGTGTCTCGCTTTTGAGGCAGCTGGCTACTTGGACATATCCTCTTGTCACTTCCTCCGTTCACGCACCGACATCATCTTGGTGAGAATACACATGTTGTCCAATTCATCTTTCATCTCTGTGCCAACCTCCTCACTTCCTTGTTCTCGCAACGTCGCGCCTGCTTTGCTTAACATCAATCAGTAGGACGCAACGCCAACAGTCATCTATCCTCCGATCATTCCCATCAGGTGCTTAACTGAAGAATCGAAGAATACGCCGTTCTCAAGATGGTAGCCAGAGTCCGGAGAGGATGCAGCGGAAGCTGAGACAAAGGGCAACACATCTTCGACCGAAAATGTCCCATACAAGGACGGTGTTGGTGAATCCTCCGACAAAGATTCCGGTATCGAAGACGGGAAACATTCTTCCTCTAGGTGAGCTTTTCAAATGCCCGCCTTTGTCAAAAAGTTGTGAAGACCTGGCGTGACAGCTTCAGCACCTGCTCTTTCGAAGATATCGTCTCAGTCACCGTCAGCGAGAAGAAGGTTAAATACCGTATGCACAAGAAAATCATCATCTCAAATGTCTGTTTTTCGACAAATGCCTTGGTGTCGGCATGAAAGAATCGCAGGTGAGTGCAGTTTCCCTCCCCGACGATGACCTGAAGGCTTTCGCGGTTGTCACTGAATGGATGTACACCGGCCGCTTGAACTCTGAGAAAAGACCGGTCCTTGCCTTGTCAATACATACATCCGCGCAGACAAGTTCTGCATGCCTGGCCTTCAGAATGCGATTGCCGACCATCTCAATAGAATGCACAACTATATACGTCCGAGAAATGCAATGTTGGCGTAGGGCCAGCTGCCAGAGGGATCTCTGCTTCGGAAGCTTTTTGTGGATCAGCTGCATTTTTCACATCACAAATTTCCAGATCCATTCAAAGAGGGCGCAAGCCAGACTGTCGCTACGCTTGCAGCAGCAATGGAGAAAGTTTTTCCAGCAAACCGCTGGCTTAGCGACGGGACTGCTGTGGAAGACTGTGGATCATGGGCGAGAAAACTCTAGCCGACTTCCTACCGACCCAGCTTTGCTCGCTCGTTGCTTCCACCACATCCATGAAGAGGGAAAGAGATGCAAATAGGGACTATGAAATGGGATGCCTGTCTGACCAAGGGCTGGAAATGGAACCCGATAGTCTCGGGGCTGCTGGATCAATATAAACCTTTCGGCCTTCGTCAACATTGCTCTGTGGGAGCTGTTCGGCGACATGAAATAGTCAGGGAATGAACGTGGCTGTCGTGACGATATCGAGCAAGAGCAGGAGATCTAACAGAGGGAAGGAGAAGATGGACATGAGCAGGACGTCCACGTTTGAGACCAACAATCAGATGCTTCCACGCTATCTGAATTTTCAAAGATTCCTGGAGCCGTCTTCGCCTCATCGCCTCCCTATCTTCCGGCATCAGCTTGGCATACAAAGTAAGCTATTCACCCCCATCATCTAGTTCAGAGTTCATCTAGCAAAAATGTTGACAGGAAGAGGAAAGAGATGCGAAGGTAGTGAAAGGATTCACTTCATTTCAGAATGACTCTTTCACTGTCTCTCTTACCTTACCACGTCGCTCGACCCGCGCTGCCTTCTACCACAGACAGAGCACCTCTTTCAAGAGAAACAACATGTCACTCAAGCGACTTTCTGGTGAGGACCACTATGATGCCAGGAGCAAGAAGACAAGGTGGGCACAGATCAAAGAGACATGGTCCCGGCTCCAAAATAAGGCTGTGCTAACAAGGACATGCAGCTTTACTGTCTCCGACGATATCATTACTGTCACTGTTGGCAAGGAGCAGTTGCGACACCTAATCCATGAAAGCGTCCTCTGGAAATGCCCATTCTTCGACAAGTGCCTCCACTCTGGTATGCGAGAACAGGAAGAGAAGGCCGTCATCTTGCCCGAAGATGATCCCGAGGACTTTGCCATCATTGTCAAGTGGCTGTACGCCGAGAAGATCCCCGACGATATCGACTGGCACCGAATCATACCCGCATACAACGCGGCCAGCAAATTCTGCATGCCGGAACTGCAGAACGCGCTCGTCGACGCGCTTCGATCCCAGATGGAGGACTGGTGCCTCACTCCAGAATGGGTCTCCCACATTTGGACGCGCACCGAGGAGGGAAGCCAGCTGCGCGAACTGGTCTTGGACACCTTCTACTATGACATATCGAAGAAGCCGTCTCGCTACAACGAGCACAACATGGAACACCAAGCAGAAGCCGATGGGCCGAAGTACGCTGCGCAGATGGAAAAGTGCATGACAAACGCGGAGTTGGGGCTGGCGCTGCTGTGGCGCTTTGCAGACCCGGCATTTCGTCCAAAAGCAAAACCTTGCACGATGAAGGGCTGTGTCTACCACGTCCATGAGAACGAGAAGAAATGCAGCCGACCCTGATCATCGACCTTATGGCCGCTCACGGGTGGGTGGGAGCCGTCTTTCCACATCGAGGACAGATTGTTGACGACGGTGAGCCGTGGAATATGATGTACGGTGAGAGGGATGAGACAAGTCACACACTCTTGATTTGAGCGGGTGGCAGTGGCCGTGCTTTTTTGGATTTTTACGGCGTTTCATTCAAGCTCGATATGCGGTGATGGTGACTGTTACGAAATAGGGCAGTGCTTGGTGATCGGTCTTCTCTTCCCAACACCACGCTAATAGGAGTTATTTCTCCTTGTACCTCTCTCTCTTTCCCCCCTTCTCTATGTACATACAGATTCGTAGCTACAACCGCGACGAGGCTGCTGCCTTGCTGCTGCCGCTGTTGTTGGTTTTCTCTCTCTCTTCTGCGCTTTTAAAGTCTCTGACCATCTTCAGCGCCGCGCGTGCGTAGGGAAACCTCTCTAGCGCCAACGTCCCAGCCGACGAACCCTCGCCGCTGGCCTGCCTCACGGCCCAGCGGGCTGCGATGCCCTGGATCATGACGCTCGTGCGGAACATGGCAAAGGCGTCGGCCCACGCCATCTCGCCCGTGGGATCCCAGCCTCCTGCCTCCTCGCGGTACCATTCCAGACACTGTTCCTTGGTGGGTAGACCCGGCGGCCCCGCGCCGACGTCGAACGCCGGGTGCGAGTGTGTTTTTATCTCCTTGAAGTTCTGCGTCACCGTCCATGGCATGGTCATGTTGCTCAGGTCTGACAAGGGGTGGCCGACGGTTGCGATCTCCCAGCTAAACAAATGTGTCCACGACGGACGATTTGGTCAGTCTCTATCCGTCTCATTTCATTCCTGCGTATATTTTTGTTTTTTGGGCGGGGGGGGGAGGCCCTGAAAAGTATTATGGAGTAGTCATCGGTTGGGACGTAGCAAAAACACTCACTCGAGGATTCCAATAATCTCCGGCTTCGTCTTGTGGTAGACGAGATTGTCGATCTTGTAGTCGCCGTGCGTGATGGAGCCGCGATCTTGCGGCCAGTGCCTCTCGTCTTCGAAGAAGGCCACCATCTCGTCCATATGCGGTATTCGGCCCACAGCCTCCCCAGACTCGACGTCAATCACCTTTGAATACGACTTGTCGAGACGCTTCAGCGTTCGGATCTGTCGAGTGTAGAACCCGCGCGGTTTGCCGAAGTTGGTGAGCCCGACCGCAACCGGGTCGACGCGGTGAAGTCGCGCGAGTGTCTGGACGGCTTCTTTCCACCTTTTTGCCCTCAAGAATCAGAATGGCACGACGGGGTTGAAAAGTTCGGTTGGAGGCAAATGACCACTTCGCTGTGTGGCGGTCCATCAAACAGAGACGAAGGCAAAGGGGAGAGCGAATGAACGGAAAGTATCCATGGAACTAAACGTACATTAAACTCCTCTCCTCGGGTGATACCCCAGGGATATACGCCTCCTCGAAGATCCGACCGTCCAGGAATTCCATGATGTAGAAAGGCGTCCCGACCACACTGCTGTCCTCGCAGAGGCAGTAAGCCTTGGGCACGGGGATGCCAGTGCCATTCAAGGCGCTGATGACGCGGTACTCGCGCTCGACCTGGTGTGCTGCGGTCGTGAGCAGTTTTCCGGGCGGTTTCTTGCGGAGCACGAAGTGTTGGCCTCCGCTGTCGGTCAATTGGTATGTCGGGTTCGACTGTCCGTATTCGAACTGTATAGTTTTGTTGGACAACGGTGTGAGTTGAGTGTCCTCCGTTCGAGAAACATGAAAAAAAGGGTGGCAGAAGTTGGAATTTTGGGAGGAAAAATGGAAATCCTGTCCCACGTACCTGCCGTATCTGGACGGGGACTTTGATTTCAGGGACATGCAGACTGAGATAGCGTTCCAGAGACTCTTTGTCGATCGGCTGTCTCATTGTGGGAGATTGGTTGACGATGGAAGAACGAGAGTGAGCGGGGGGATAGCGACTGCTTACTCGGTGCGTGTGATCGCTGGCCAGGAGGGGAGAGGAAGATGGGCAACGAGAAAGATCAATTAATCAATTAATCAAGCAAGCATGCATGCATGACTGACCTGAGGAAAGAAAAGAACAAGGTCGACAGACTTGTCAAACCTTCTGAAGATATAAAGTAGGACTCGGTATGGTTCGCAAACCACAGAATGAACATCTAGGATCCTTGGCAGCCATGCCGTCCGTACTTATATGACAACATTGCCCCCCCAAAATGCCTCGGATGTGAGCTTAGCAGGCCTGCCTCAATAGGGAGATATGCGAGAATGTGAGGCGAGCCATCTAGGGTCGTTACAGGGGGGATGTTGCGGATAGTTTTCATTGAGCGCAGCTGCTGGATGCCGGGTACTATCCAGGACCACAGAACGCTAAAAGCATATATGTACATGTGTGCAAGTGTAAGTACATGTATGCGCAGAGATCAATATTCATTATACGCCCTAAGAGCTGTAATGTTCATCCATCCTATGTATCTACGACCTTGACCTGGAGGACCGACCATGCGGAGTCCCGACGCCTTGCACGGTCTCGTTGCCAGTCAAAATAGTCGTCGAGAGAGTCGTTTGTTTGACCACTTCAGTAATGTATCATTAGAGAAACAGCACGCCCTTTCGCTACCCCAGGCCGATTTAGACGGCGTCGGAAGCCGTCTTGAGATCCTCGGTGACCACGGGCGTGGTAGTCTTTTCGCCGGCATGTTCGTGGGTGATGACGGTGTGGGTGATGTGGTCGATCTCAATCTCGCGTTGATAGATGGCCACCTCGTCAGCGTCGCCGAAGATGGCGGCGATTTCCTCCAGAGGCACGCCCTTGGTGTCCGGGAAGAAGAACAGCATGATGAAGCCGCCAATTGTGCCAGGGATGATGAAACAGAGGTAGAACTTCCACCCAATCGTCCTATCCATCGGGTGAGTGATGATTGGCAACCCTGCCGGGGACAAAACTCACTTGAAAGCAGTGGGAGCGGCCTGGAGCCACATGATATTCATGAGCGAAATCATCGAGACTCCCAAGCAGACGCCCTTGGCTCTGATATGGCTGGGGAACAGCTCGTTGAGGTAGCTGAATTGGGTGCCTAGTTGCGAAAATACCAGTTAGTCCAAGCCTTTCCCGGCGTGGGTGATCTTCCACATGGACAAGAGACCTACCGTCAAGACAGAAGCCATAAAAGATCTGGAAAATGTAGAACATGGCCACGGCCGCCAGAAGTGCTGATTGATTGTTGGATGGCACGAATTCTGCAACCAATGCCGCCTCGATGATCAGAGTGACCATGCAGCCCAACACACCGAATGCCATGTATCGATTTCGAGGAAATCGGTCGACGAGGCCCATGGCCATGATGTTGATGCCCAGGGTGAGGGTGAGCCATCCTGCCGGATAGAGCAGTTGTTTGACTGGGCTGAATCCGAGATTGGCATACAAGGTCGGTCCGTAGTCTTGCACAAACGTCAGTCAAGCCTGACCCAAATGATTTTTGGAGATGGACTCACTGTTGATAACTAACACGCCAGAGCACTGGATAATTCCTGTAGTTCCGATTGCAAGCAGGCAACGTTTTCGGTAGGATGGCTTCTTGATCATGTGCATCCACGAGTTGCCCAGAGTCTTGTCGATGGCGATTTGCTTCTGGATCTGGTAATACTCTGCATTGGCAAACTCGTTGTCCGGGTCGTTCGGGTCGGAATGCAACTTGAAGAGAATCTCTTTTGCTTCATCGATACGGCCCTGCATGACCAACCAACGAGGCTAGATATTCCCGTGTTCTTAGCTTTGACCCTTTGCACAAATGGCCGCGACAACGTACCGATTCGGGAACCCAGTAGATACCACAAAGAAGAAGCAGGGGCCAAACACATTGAAGAGCTATAGGAGGTCGCCACGTATTCTCGCCTCCATCCCAGAAATAGAAGCCGAATCCGACCCATCCTTGGATGGTGTAACCGAGAATAAGAAACACGGCATGAACGTCGACCAGCGCTCCTCTCAAATCGACCGGCACAACTTCCGACATCCAAATCTGCCAAGGGTGAGCAACGAAATAGCTATCCAGAAAGGCGCAATGGACATACCGGAACAGCTGCGAGGATCATGAAGGCTGAGGCGCCTGCAAAGAATCGAAAGAGCAAGAACTCGCCAACATTGGTGCTACCACACAGGAAAGCGCCCGAGATGATAGCAATGACGGCCGGCTGTACCAAACTGTCAGCTTGAACAGACGTCAACCAACAAGCTCCAACTCGACTTACCAGGACGATTGCCCATTTACGACCCCATCGATCAGCGACATAGGGGAGCATCAAGGTCCCAATAGTGCCGCCAGTCTGGAACAGGCCATTCATAGAACTTAACAGGTCAGTTCCATTGCTTCTGGTGTCGAGCTCGAAGTATTTGATGAAGGATGGTTGACCTGTTTGGATTGAAAGCGTCAGCCTCGGTGGTGAGGAGTCTCATCAGCCGGGGGCGATACGAACCCAGGGTCGTTCCAATGATCGAGGCTGTGTAGCCGTAGGTCAGCGACCCAAGGCCGATAAAACACAGCAGCAACACATTGTATGCGTTGATCTTTTGCTTCTTGACACCCTCGCGATGTGGCATTTTGAGCAGCTTCTGGGACGGTGCTCTACCCGTTCACTGGAGTCCTGGACAAAGTCGTTCGAGATTGAGAGAGAGTTTGCCCGAGGTCTAGAGCTGTATATGAACCCGGGCGGCTTCCCCAGGCGAAGGGCTTCCCGGCCTAGTGGTCCCACATGGTGCTTGCATGGCGCGTGCATGGTGCTTCCTTAGATGCATCCGCGGGTGCGGGCGCCTGTGGGGGAAAAGGTGCCTAAAGGTGTCTTACTCTCTTTTTGCGAGTCAGAATCATCGGCCACTAACAAGTGGCGCGTAGAGAATCGAGCGAGCTGCAGATTGTTATCAGTGTCAGGGCCCTCCTGACACCCCTGCCGCTTGACAGAGCTAACGCCCGACTCGCTGCCCAGAAGCTGGTGACCATGCAGGGCCTCATAAGCGGAAGCGTGGAAGGCGAGAAGGATTGTGTAAAAGTCGCGAGCCTGTGTGAGACTTTCGGCTCGGCCATATCTCGTTTCCCAGCCCAGTCATGCCTGTCCTCAAACTTCCATCATGGAAAGATCTGCCACCCGTAGAGGGGATGCCACATGGCTGCGCCTGGGGCTTATTTGACCGGGATGGCGTGCGGGACGAGATAGGCACATTAAACCTCCTTACGCCCGAGACTGTGGTCAAGGCCCGAGAAGAGATCCAGACTGGCAAGAGTGTTGTGCTGAAGTACGTACCTGTACCTAATCTGTACTCCGTACCCTTGGCATAAGGCTGAAGCTTGATCATAACCCCGTTGACATGCATACATAGTTGGCCCATTGACCACGTTCATGAACCGGGATTTGACCGCATCAAGCCAACAATAAACATTACCGACTGGCGGGCCAAAGGCTCTCCTTGGTATTCGTACGACGATGAGATTAGCATCAACACTCAGTCTGGGAGTCAATGGGATGGTCTAAGTACACAACCGAGGAATCCAAACCGCTAGTCTTTTCAACTCACTTCTCTTCGCCAGGACACTGGGGTCACAGTGGTACTGGATTGTACTATAATCGCATCCACCACGACGAGCTTTTGAAAACAGACCATATCGGGATTGACCGTAAGTGATACTCGGGGCCTTTTTGACTCTTGCAGCATTATGTTTGACGCCCTCTCCAGACTGGAGCAAGCGCGGGGGCATCGTTGGTAGAGGCGTCCTCCTCGATTATGTTAGCTACGCAGCTCGCCACAACATTAAATACGATGCCATGACTCGGCACCGCATTACTCTGGACGTGTTGAAGGACATTGCCAGGGAAGAAAACGTCGTCTTCCGTCCCGGCGACATCTTGCTCGTCCGCTCGGGCTGGATACAATGGTACAATGCACACAGCCCAGAAGAGCGAGTCGCCAAAGTCAAGAATGGATCGGAATACGTGGGTGTGGACGGGTCGCAGGACGTCGTCGAGTGGATCTGGGATTCTCATTTTGCCGCCGTTGGTGGTGATGCCATCGGCTTCGAAGCATGGCCACCGCAATTACCTTGGTGTAAGTCCAACTCCCCACGCTTACTCTTGCCTTTACACTGTCCCGCCGACTCACCTGGTCCTCCTGCTTAGGTCTGCACGACTTTACCCTTGCGCTCTGGGGAATGCCGCTGGGGGAGCTGTGGGACTTGGAGGCGTTAGCGGCCGAGTGTGAGAAACATCAAAGATGGAGCTTCTTCATGACCAGCGCTCCCCTGAACACACCAGGGGGGATCGCCAGCCCTCCTAACGCGATAGCCATATTTTAGCAGTGTGCTGGAGGGTGTTCTGGCCCAGATAGAGGACTCTTTACGAGGTACTGAGTACTCCGTAGATGCTCCGTAGACTTATCCTGACAATCTGGAGGCTTTGGTACCGTTAGGACAAAGAACCTTGCTTGCTTAGGGCTGGTTGTGGCGCGGGCATCGTGACATGGGTGTCCAGATGCGAAATTTGCGCGACCCATCTGGTATCTGGGGTGCCCCCGTGTCCACCCCTATTCTGAACTCTGAATTTCTCTGGTCTGCCTCGGGCCGCCGGGGACCAAGAAATCACGATTCCTCTGAAGTGGGACTTGCTGGAAAGCCTGGAAAGCCTGGAAACCGAAATCCGTGGTACATAAACTCAAAAAGCGAGAACCCAACGCCAGTCAGCCTGACATGACTCAGAGCGTTTCGTGCATGCTCGAACGAAGCTGAGGAGGTGCCCAGGTACCTCGCACCCGAGGGAGTGGTTGTCCCAGCTCGCCACACTTAGGGTCCCATCGGTTGCTTGATGCTGTTGTCGGGGATGATTTGTCGCCTCTCCTGTGTACCATAAGTCTTCCAGTTCTCGTGCCCGCTATGTCGACAGTCACGGCGCCCAAAAGACGCCTGGAACAACTCACTGGCCAGATTGCGCAGCCTCCCATCATCGATGAAGGGACATACAAGGGAATGCCTCGGGTTGCCCGAAGGGCTGGAGATTCAGTAGGGCAGTGAGTTTTCCCGAGCGAAGACCCCCAATACCTCTCTGAGTGGTTGCTCTTCGTACATACAGCTGCTGGTGAAAAGACGAGTTGGGTCTGACAAGAAGGTGCATCACCATGCCAGACGCGTACAGGGCAAAGTGGTCATCATCACCGGCTGCAACTCACCACTTGGCATGGGCCGGGCAACGGCTCACCAGTACGCCAGGAATGGCGCCCGAGCAGTCTACATTTGTGACTATATGGATGACTACCTGAATCTCCACGTGGAGGAACTGAATGAACTCTACCCCGAGGTGGCCGTGCACGCCCGGAAGTTCGACGCAGGGGACGAGGACGGGGTCAAGGCAGTTGTCGCCCATGCTTTGGAGACTTATGGACGGCTAGATGTGTTTTTTGCTAACGCGGCAAACTCGGGGACGTGGAAAGAAGTCTGGAATATGGAGGTCGCCGAGTTTGAGCGAACAATCAGGACGAACTTGACAAGGTAGGTTTGTTTGCACATCTACCTACCTCCTCCCATGGGGGGAAGCAACAACCGCCCCGGGTCTTCAAGCCCCATTAATCTGACACACGATCAAACCTGGACACAGTGTCTTCCTCGCCATAAAACACGCTGGTCCGGCAATGCAGGTGATCAGCAAAGACAAACCATACTCTAGCGGCTCCATCATCGCGACCTCTTCAACGGCTGGTCTTCGCTCAAATGGAGGCAGCACCGATTACAGTGCCGCAAAGGCCGCGGTCGTTAGCCTCGTGCAGACCGCCTGTTATCAATATGCGGGCCGCAATGTCCGGTGCAATGCCATCGCACCGGGAATGACGCACTCTGGCATGACAGAGCCAGTCTTTTATGGTCCGGCGCGGGAAAGAGGCACGCTCCATAAAGTCGGACAGCTATGTCCACTCCGGCGCGGTGCGGTGGCGGATGAAATCGCTAGAGTCGCGCTGTTCCTGGGCTCTGACGAAGCCAGCTATGTCAATGGCCAGGTATGGGCCGTGGACGGTGGGTTGAGCTCTGGCTTACCTTATAAACTGGGCAGTATGGCATAAATCATCATTGCGTGGCGCTGACGCTCGCGACCAACATGATAAAATACCCAAAACTAGCTAAGCACCTCGTGAAATATCCAGGTCTGAAGAAAACATCACCACGCTCTACGTGCACTCGTGCTTTGAATGGAAGCCCTGGAATGGCTCATCAGAGCTTCGGTCTCGGACCGAATACCGTCGCCGCGTCCCTCTTCGCCCATTCCTTCATGACTCTCCTCTGGATCTTGCCGCTGGGCAGGCGAGGCACCTCGGGAATGAATGCGACCCCTCCAACAAGACGCTTGTGTTTCGACACTCGAGCGTTTAGCCACTCTTGGATCTCCTTCTCGGTGACTTTACCGCGAGACTCTTCCTTCAGCGCCACGTACGCTCTGGGCCATTCGCTGTCGTCAAAGGTAATGCCCACGACACCAGCATCGGCGATGTCGGGATGCTCGATCAGGGCCGATTCGACCTCCGCGGGCGACACCTGGAGGGCCTGGACCTTGATCAATTCCTATCGCCGGCTGAGTTAGCTGATGATGCACGAAATCAGGAAGAGTTTGTGGTACTGTACCTTCTTTCGATCCACGATCGCCATCCATCCGTCATGGCTCATCACCATCACATCACCGCTCTTTAACCATCCGGTCTCAGGGTCGAATGTGTCGCGCGTCGCTTGTGGATTTCTCCAGTATCCCAGACAGACCTGTGGGCCACGGACGTAGAGTTCTCCAGCCTCGCCTATGCTTGCCTCCCTGCCGTCTTCTGTCATGATCTTCACCTCGGTGTTGGGCATGACGACGCCCACGGAGCCAGTCCGGGACTTCTCGTAGTAGGGAATCCCAGACACCGCACACGTCGTCTCGGTCATGCCCCAGCCCTGTGTGATGCGGACGTTGAATTTCTTGGACACGTTGGCTTCAAGCTCTCTCGAAACGGGCGCGGCTCCGCACAAGATCTCCTTGACGCTGCTGAGGTCGTAGTTGGCGGTCTCTGGTCTCTTGTTCAACATGATCAGAATCGGGGGAACGGTTTGCAGCCGGGTGATCTTGTGGTCCTGGATAATGCGGAGGTATTCGACGAACTCGAACTTGCTGATGATGAGCATGGGAATGTGGTTGATGGTGGCCATGAGGATGGCATAGCATTGTCCATAGGCGTGATAGAGAGGCAGGAATCCCGCCCATTTCTCCGAAGGTTCGAAGTCGTAGAGAGATTTGATCTGCTTGACGTTCGAGACAACGTTGAAATGAGACACGCAGACGCCCTTTGGCAATCCAGTGGTGCTGGGCGATTGTCAGCTTCACGTACAAAACATGACAGGATCAAGCGAACGTACCCGGACGAGAAGTTGATGGCAGCAATTGTGTTCACTGCCTCGTCGGGACTGAGCTTCTTCCATTGCCACCGCTCACCCTGCTCGGGTGTCCCCAGAATGACTCGCCAATCTGGAAGACCCTCAAGTGTGCCTGTCTCACGGTCCGAGAAGACATAGAGTCGCAGACCCGGCACAGCTGCTTTGGCGGCTGCAGCCTTCGCAGTCGAGATCAAGGTCGGATGCACAAGCAGGACCTTTGGCTGCAAAACTGTAATTTGATATTCCAATTCTGGACATCAACCATAAGTACGATATTCATTTCTCTCAAGGACCGTGTTTCGCCAGAGCTGTACCTACCTTTCACAGTGAAAGACGGGTTGGCTCCAGAAAAAGCAGCACCAATGCCGACAATTCCAAAATATGACACTGGAATCATGATATGATTGGGCGTGAAGAGCAAGCATCTATCCCCTGCTTCAACGCCTAACTGTTGAAGACCATAGCCAAACCGCTTCGCCAAAGCCAAGGCACTCTTTGGAGAGTTCCAGACCGACGTGTCGGCGGCATTGATCCAGAGCGGCTTATCGGACACAGGTTGATCGGCGGGGAACAGGAAATCTAGGATGCTGCATTTCTGCAAGGGCAGGGACGGGATCTTTGAGAGGAAAGGCATCTTCGGCGCAAAGAAGGGAAGCGAAAGCAAGGATCAACGTCCACCACGTTTTCCAGCGCACAAACACATTTGGAAACGAGCGTGAAGGTGTATATCAAGAGGTACATACCGGCGAGCTGGCTCGACCCGCATGGCGTGGGCTGTTGCCGTCTTGGACGAACCAGTAGCCGAGACAGCATGGCAGAGCATGGCAGAGGCATGGCAGAGGCATGGCTGGGATCAAGTGGGATCACAACAGCTTGTCTGTAGGATGCGTGCAGAACACCACCTCAGAGCAAACGACGTCGATTGTGTCGAAGTCGCGGACATTCTGCGGTGGCCCGTGCTGGTAGACCACCCGCCACATCTCCGCAACTTGACGAGGTTGTTTACCTCGGCCTTCCCTTCTTGGGCACTCGCAGCAACCGGTCTCTGGCTATCTGTGGGCCTGGTGCATTGGTTCAAAACGACGAACAACAGCCTCATTCCATGTGGATTCTCACACTCACAACTACGAAAACTCGTACTCGGGACGGCAAGACGGCATCAACACCATGGCCACCATACCAGATCACCCATCTCTGGCCCGGATCCCTCCAGGATACAGGACAAAGCTGAGCCCCAAAGCAATCGATATCATTGCGAGAGTGTACGACTGGGTCGAAAATGAATGCATTCCGGCAGATCACATTGTCAAGGCTCAACTGGAGAAGAACCGGTGGGCAATGCCGCCATACATCAAAGAGTTGAGAAAGAAGGCAAAAGCAGAAGGATTGTTCAATCTCTTCCTACCGAACCACTTCAAAGAAAGCCCTGGACTCACCATCCTGGAGTACTCATGCTGCTGTGAAATTCTTGGGCGAGTTTACTGGGCTCCGATGGTAGGTGAGAAAGCGCTGGAGTGGTCCAGACATGGACTGAAGGAGAATCTAGACCCTCAACTGCCACGCTCCAGATACCGGTAACATTGAGCTTCTGGCCAAGTACTGCACTGAAGAGCAGAAGAAGAAATGGATGCAGCCTCTTCTGGACGGAGACTGGTTGTCAGCCTATTCAATGACAGAGCCTGATGTTGCTGCTTCCGATGCGACCAACATTTCGTGTCGCATTCGACGGGAAGGAAACGAGTACGTGATCAACGGCCGGAAGTTGTACGGCAATTGGATCGCGAACGAGGACATCAAGTTCTACATCCTGATGGGATGCTCTGACCCAGACAATCCGGATCCTTGGAAGCGGCACTCGACTGTGATTGTGCCCAGGGATGCTCCAGGTTTGAAGGCGGTTCGATACATGACAATCATGGGCTACGACTGTGCTCCCGAGGGCCATGGTGAGTATGTGTACGAAAATGTGAGGATTCCTGTGGAAAACATTATTCTGGGAGAAGGCCGAGCATTTGAAATCGCTCAGGGTCGACTTGGTCCGGGGAGAATACATCATTGGTGAGTTGGCTCCAAGGGCACGCTTCCTGCAAACTGACGGGATTGGAGCATGCGTCTACTAGGACAAGCTGAGCGCGCATATGAGCATGCACTCATCCGAGCTACGGATGCGAGAAAGAAGCCCCGGGGCAAATTGATTGGTGAGTTCGACAGCAACATCGAACGGCTCGCCGACATGCGAATGGAGATCGACGCTCTTCGCCTGGTGGTTCTGAATGCTGCAGAGACCATGGACTTGATGGGCAATGTGGCCGGGAGATATGCCATTGCCCAAGCGAAGATCATGGTGCCCTTAGGCGTGACCAAGATCATTGATGAGTGCATGCAAATGTTCGCTGGGCAAGGTCTGACACAGCACACGTTCCTCCCAGAAGCTGTAAGGCCCCTGGAACCCTTTCTTATCGAGAATACGTGATTCCCCCCACTCCCAACCCCTCTTGGTAGCCTTTGTGAAGAGTGTCTCAACTCGAGCTAATGGGCATTCGCAGTGGACATATGCCAGATTCGCTCGGATCGCCGACGGGCCAGACGCTGCCCACAAGCATCAAGTCGGCCGAGATCAGCTGAAGACTGCGGCTGAGGTCAGGTCGAAACATCTCGGGTACAAGAGGAGATACCATGAATTGGCGAGAGCGTGGGGGGTGCCTGCAACAGAACGGTTTGAGTATGTCGAGCGGATCGAGAAACTGTAGGAGCACCAGAGGTGCCTCGAGACACCCAGGGGACACCCAAAAGGCAGCGAACAAGCACCGAAGAGGAAGATCCTGAGCATGATTTCTAATCGTTGTGTCACGGATACACCACACTGACCACATTGACCACAGCAAGGAGCAGCAACAAGCACAATTGATTCTCTGAGGTAGGGATGTCCAGGTACGTGGTCACTGCGAAGGGGCGGTTGAATAGACAAATAATGAACAGTGACGTGATTGACGAGGCCCGTCAGAAAGCCTAGTGCAGCCCAGTCAGGACCCTGATGCCTCCACCGAGTACCCTAGAGCCATGCCAATAAGGACACCTATAGGCACGCCCATAAGCGTACCTAGACGCCCATGACCATCCCCCTAAAACCATCCCCAATGCCCCCAACAACCCCCAACGACTCCCTCGTAAGTAAGGCCCCCAAAGCAGTACCTTCCCCAAGCAGGTCGCTTCGAGTCGTACACCTTCCCATAACAGCCTAATACCACCTGACCACCCTAATAGGAACTAGTCGCCTCATTCCCAAAGTGTCGAGCGACATGTTTCGCCCGGTCAAAATTTCGCTTGCTTCGCCAGGGTGTTTCGCAGGGGCGCTTTGGGGATAGTTGGCGGTTGAGGGTGGTTGAGGCACCCCGAGGGCACCCCAAGGCGCCTTGTGAGGGTAGGGCGAGAAGGGCGAGGGGGGTGGTGGAGGTGGCCCTGGTGGCCCCTACTTGGTAGGCCATGATGGCATGTGCCGAGGGCAAAAGTCAATTGCCAAGGCCTGACCGCCCCCGCGTCCTTCGTCCTTCTTCCGACTTCTCCAGAATTCCCCCCGTGTGCTAATTCCTAGCTTCATCTAGTATCCCGTCGTCCGTACCTTCGCAGCATCATCGTCGACGAGAACCTTCTGAAAACTCTCAATCAATGATGGAGACCATGGCCTCCGAGGTGGTATTGCCCATCCAGTTGGCCACAGGCCCGCCGCCATCGAGCCGCAAGCCCAAGCAGATCAGCGACAAACGACGCGACAAGAAACGGGTGGCCGACCGACATTGTCAACGTCAGGCTCGAGCCCGAACGAAAAACAAAATCGCCGAGTTGGAGTCTCTTGTAGCACATCTGACAAGCCAGTCAGGCAACGAAGTCTGCCGAGAGCTGAGGGAGCAGCTCGAGACCGCCCGCACCGAATGCCGCTCTCTCAGACGCAAACTCGCGACGATATATTCCCTCGCCCAGATCAACCTGGACGAAGACTCAGAGGCAGCACGCCCCGACGACGCTACGGAGAAGGGTATGCTGCAATGGGTGACATTGTGACATTGTTTGAGGCGGCTAACAAAGGCTTGCTAGAAGGCGCCGACTTCTCTCCGCCCTTTACGCTGCCCGGCCATCCCAGGTCGCCCGTGGTGGTCGTGGACGATCCCCGTGTAGATGCCAGCAGCGAACCTGGCCATCAGCCGCGCGGGCCTGTGTGTAACGTCCACGGTCAGGCTGAATTCGGCTTTCCCCTCGATGACAGCCTCAATTTAAACTTTTCGGATGCCATGTTCGATGAGCAAACCTTCAATCCGATGGGGTTAGGGGGGGCACCGCTTGAGTTGGATGAAATGTCCGGCCCCCACAACAACAACACACTCAACGCAACAGCCACCACGCCCTCGCCCATTCCGCTCTCGTTTCCCGAAAGTGGGTCCTCGTGCACGTGCTCTCACCACAACACCAACACCCACCCTCACAAACAGATGTGGAATTTTGTGAGTGACACGCTGCAGAATTGGAAGACTCACAACTGGCCTCGACTCAGGGACGACGAAGTCCACGATGACATTGCCGTCCGCGCTGTCATAGCGGGCTGGGATGAGCCCACCCTCAGCAACTTAAGTCCCTCGTGGCGCATCTTGCGCGATGTCGACCAGAAAGTATGGGCCAACTCCCGCAACGTCGATCGTCTGGCGGTTATTTGCATCATGAATCTACTGCTCCAGGTATGCTGTCACTCCAATTAATGGCCATGGGTGTGTCTGACTTCAGATAAAGTGCCACCTCAACCCTTCGGAGGAGAATATGTCGAGGCTGCCTTCTTGGTATCAGGCGAGGTACCACTCCCCTCTCTCATTGTCCGATGGTGGTAACGACAGCGCTGACCAGCTCATAGGCCGTCACAATTGGCTCAAAAACATGCCTATGCTATTGATTTTTTCGTTTGGTATGTGGCTACCCAGCAAGACTCTGCGAGAGAACAAGATGGTCTGATCTCTTCTTTGATAGGCCGGGCATCCGCGAGCGATTCATCTATCACTATCACAAGTACTGTTCCAACAAGTTCTGGGCGCTTCTGGCACAACATTTCCGCTTTGTGTGGCCATATGATCTCCGTGATTGTTATGTACATAACCGACAGACTGGTAGATATCAACTATCAGACTTGTTCCGCCGTCACCTCAATGACCTGACATCCTTCACCTTTGCAAGAGACATGTTTGGCAACTACCCAGAATTCGGCAGCGACATCCCAAAGTACATGAAAATTCCGACAAGCCTGGCTCCCAAGCAGCTGGTCAATCAATCACAGAAACGGAACTACCAGCAGATTCCCGGTAGCCAGAAGTTGATCGGATTCAGTCCTGTGCCTTCGGCGGGCGCGCAAGGACAGTGGTACCAACCGCCAGACGAGATGAGCAAAAGCATCGGCCCTGTCTTGTGGGCTCCACCGCTCCAATCCAATCAATTTTTCTAGAACCACAGTGTACAGGACAGGGTATATCGATATTTGCAGGAAGCCTTTTCCGGGAAATTTGACTTCAAGGGGATGGTTGGTAGGGCGTTTGCAGGGTGACATTTGAAATGATGATAATGTACGTCCCGAAAAGTCCTTCGACGTCGTGTCGAGGAAGAACCTCCATTGTATTAAGTGCAGTATTTAACCCTTTCATCTACGAGGACAAGGTTTACGACCAGAGGAGATGAACGTCGCGGGGGTTGCCAAACCAGTTGAAGTTTTTGGATGGAAGACTTGGAGTGATTGAAGAGGATGTAAGTGCGTGATATGGGCGCATATTCAGAAACAAGAGGGCAAAGTTGAGATGTCAGACAGGATGATACCATGTTCTCTTGTCAGAATGTTCAGGTGCTCGCTGACTTTGAACCGGATCATGTTGATTGTTTTATGCCGACCTTCCTCTTTATGACGTGAAATGGTCCTCTCAGATGAGTTGGACACGGACTTGCGCCGCCATCGCCTACCTGCACATATTTATCCCTTTCACTTCGTTTTACTTTTACTTCACTCTATTTTATTTCTCTGTCGCCAAAGCTGTGCCTGCCTCTCATTTCAGCATCTTGGCTTCAACAGTCAGGTTCAGCACAACTCAACACCCCACGCGTCGGTCCATTTCGAGCCCGCGAAGAGCGAGTTGATGCACAGCACGTTGCTGGAGACACCAGGGGTTATCAATGTCCAGGGGATTTTGAAGGATCGAAGATGTCGGCCGCTGCTAGCGAAGAGGATGAGATACAGGAAGACTACGAAGTAGACAGGTGAGTCCTTGTTTTGATCACTCCTGGGAAGCTACTAATCTTTCAGTACATATGCAAGTCCGGTCGCCAAGGTGATTGTCGGATCACCAGCACAAGTCTTTTTCATGCACAAGAATCGTTTGACAGAGGCGAGCGAGTTCTTCAGGGCTTGCCTTTCAACAGGGATGATCGAGCAACGAAAGAACAAAATCATTCTCTCAGAGGACCCATGTCGGGCCTTCAAATTCGTAGTAGAATGGATCTACAAACACGAGATCCTCGAACCTAACCATAATGACGATGCAATGTCTGCCTTACAAGCCTGGATACTTCCGACAAGTATTGCCTGCCAAATCTCCAAAATGCTCTTATGGACAACCCCAGAACGTTCTGGGGCCACGAGTACATGCGTCCTCGATTCTTGTCATTATCTGCCTGAGAACACGCAAGACACTATTCCTCTTCAGCAACATGTTTTGGATCAATTATCTCACGATTTGGCGAATTGTCCTTCTTGTCAGTACAGATCGGAGCATGGCATGGGCTGCCATGGAGAAAGCACTCAGGACTTGCTAGCCAGCACAGAGATTTCTGCAAGGCGGTTCTGGGCCGCGAACAATCTTGAAAGAGATAACACTCTACCATCCGACCTGGAAGGATGCCATTATAACGTTGACAAAGAAGGTGATATCTGCCAGAAAAAAGAAGACTGACGATCCCAAAGACGTCGAACCTCCAGCATCGCCTCAAAAAGGGCGAGGTAAAAGACACTAGGCATGAGGCAAATGGTCTCAATCAACAGATTGGATGCCCTGATAGACAAACAGCCCCCTGCCTCGACAAAAAAACCAATACGACATGAAGACAGGATATGCAAGGGTTTGGCCCCTCTGGCTAGTCTTGAATTGTGAGAATTCAGGAGCCGCGCTACAACCACAACCGTGACCGTCTACTCTCTCCCTGCGGTCATTGTCCATGCTGGAAAGCGCTACCCAGTTCTATTCGGTGTCAACAATCTTGGCTGCGCTTTTCAGCTGCGATCGGGACGATCTTGAGAAGGAACAATGAATGAGATAGTTGGGGTTCTTGTTTCTCACCCTTCCATCACTACCAATAAAGTCTCGAACAAGGTGAAAGCGGATCAAGAGATGTCGAAATGTCTGCCTGGTGTTGTTCAGCAACAATAGGATCACACTGGCTGTTCAACTCGCGTCGGCGGCACCGCGACAACGCTGAAATTGACGAGGCTGGGCTTGGGCAAATTTGAAAAGGGGACCAGCCAACGAGCAACGCAAATAGCAGAGCATCTCAAGCTTGTTTATGTTTACTTTCCATGAATGACGTGCCCTGTTCCGAAAGGCAGCATCGACTTGATGGGAACCCAGGTGCTCGTCCGGTGCCACCTGACGAATCAGCCCATTCTTCGGTCATTTGGCCTGCCGCGTCTTCTCTCCTCGTATCGACGAGGTTGCCAGAGCTTTCGCGTCAGAACGGCGTCAGAGAAGGTAGGTGACTTGGTCGGAGGCTGGAAGCACTGGTCAATCACTCAGCGTCTTCCCCGCCGTGATCGCACAAGCGAACAAGGTACCTATGTTCATTCTGTTTGTTATTTGCCTTTCTCATTCATTTGGACCTCTGGATATGTTTATCCCACCCATTTCGTGCGCAAATCATCCTTGTGGAAATAAGTTTTACGGCAACTCGACTTCGTTCCTGCTCATGCGTGACTGGCTTTCTTGCCTGTTGAGGTGAGGGCGTCTGTCTCTACCTCGAACAACGTCCTCCAGGCTATATGGACCTGAAACCGGTAGGCCGGGAAAATTATTGAATTCAAGAAGACTCTATCTCTCTTCCGCACCTATACCAACCACATCTCTGCGAAATCGCTGTTGATGGCCCTGGGGCGGTTAAAATCTAGTCGGCGAGGCCGCCGACTAGATATAAAATGCAAATCCTCCTAGCCACAACAACAGCGAACGCTGCATCTTGTAGCAAGTGGGCTGAGAAGCTATATACGACATTGAAGGAGCGGGCTGTCAGACAATCATCCCAAGCGCGTGGGCATGCAGTTCACCACATGGGTTTCACGGAAGGAGAGTATGAAACGGGATGGCAAGAGCTGTCAACGAGGCTGATCAACACTAATGAAGAGACCGCCTCCACGGAGAGGGTCGTACTTGTAAGTCAAGGTGAAGAGCAACTTGTGGAGGGAAACACGAAGCGTGAATCTTGCAACATTGCGAGAAGGCCGTATCCCCTGAGAAGCTGCGACAGCGAACATCGGTAGCAACAACGAGCTCAACTTGCCAGATCATTCCCTGCGATCGACGTCTCTTCAACGCCGGCCGCGGTCTTTGTGGCCTAATCAAATACATCATCAATCGCCCATCCCAGCATCCTCCTTGCCCCGGTCCCCCCAAACATCAACGTCGGCTCTGGCCACCAGACTGCCTTATCAGACCACGCCCTGGAAAGGACTTGCTGCAGTCGATTGCCGGCTCTGATGTCCATCGCGGACAGTTCATGTCGCCGCTCTTTGGTCGAGTCCTTTCATTCCTTTCGCTCTTCGCCCCTTCCTACTGGCGGACGACGGAGATATCACGTCCAAGACACTGCAGACACGCCGATCTCTAACGATGCTAGTAGGTTGGCGACGGTCAATGGTTTTGAATGATGTGTCTGTGACAACAACTACCTGGCTAGGTAGTGAATCCCCGCGTGATCTTCCCGTTGAAAGAACGACAGTGGGAGTGAAGAATGGGACTGGCGTGCGACAATTTCTCATGAGCTATGGTGAGTGTTGTTTATTCTTCTCAAATTCTCTGCTTCTACGTTTGAAAATCCTCCATGCTTCCTCACTGTTGAACCCATTTCCAAGTGCCATACCGCAACCCTCAACCCGGGTGGTCTCCCTCTATCCACATCATGGACCCAAACGAATCAGATACAGACTCTGGCTCAAAGAAGAAGGCTTTAGACAGCACATTGGTCACCGATCGGGTAGAAGCTAGGTTGTCACAGTCAGTGCACAATCCCGTGGCTTCCCTTCATGACCCTAACTCATTCTTAGCCTTTGCCGCCCACCCCATCATCACAATTTCAGTCGGTCAAGAGAAGGTAACTTACCAGATGCACAAGGACGTATTGGTCGTAAATTCGACATTATTTGCGAAGATGTTTGCTTCCGGCATGATCGAGGTGCAGACGAACGAAGTTTACTTTCCAGAAGTCTGCTGCGAAGTCTTTGAACACTTTGCCTCCTGGATTTACCGACCACTTGAAGAGATGCGGCCCTTTGAAGAAAGGTCAAAAGAGCCGTCGCTCTCATTCCATCCCATCTCACATCAACTTACATGTTTTCTTTGCTTTGCCCCTTTCTCTTCCCATCGACTCCTGCCTTCTAGGTTCGCTATTATCTCATTTTCCTTTCTTAGTCCTTGCTCTTGGATCCAATCCCGCCTTTTTAGTTGCGCCATCGTCGTGGTCCACGGACATGCAAAAGGGTCTCGACAGACCTCCCGGCCCGGGAAGTGATGAGAACATACCTCTATCGAGCCTCTATCGAGGTATATTAAAGAGTGTCGCCAACGCTTAAGTTCATTTGTCAGTTAACCGTAACCTGCGCCAGCTTCACAACATCTCCTGTCGTAACAGTCCCAGCAAGCGAGCACACGTATCTCGTTCATAAGAAACTGCTCGTTACCAGATGGCTTTCTTTGCCAAACGTCTCGGGTGCGAACGGAAGAGTCACTCCCAAACGAGGTGAAACTCTCCGATGACGGTGACCCCGATATGATCCATCATCTGATCACCTACATCTATACCGATCGGGTCGACTTCTCGGACGAAGATGACGAGGCCATTTCCATCATGAAGGCATGGGTGTTGGCGGAGAAGTTCTGCATGCCTGACCAGCAAAACCAACTTATCGACTATCTGATGGAGCACTGGCAAGACGAACAGGTGAGGCCGGCCAAGGTTGCTTGTGTCCTAGACAACGTCAGTAAATATAGCCCGCTCTCAAAGTTGGTAATCGATCGATTCACCCACGATCTCGCCTTTGAATATGATTACTTTTTGGGTCAGAAGAATCGAGAGGGAGCAGAGGAACACGACAAAGAGTTCGGTGCGCTGTGTTCTAAAACCGGGTGCTCGGTAATACGTCTTGTCTGGGACGACCTTTGTCTTCTCGATGATGATAACGATGCTAAGCGCCCGAAGCCCCTTGCCCCGATCAATCAGGGGTGCAAGTATCATGTGCATGCTGGAGGCGGATAAAGCGGGAAAGGTGAGAAAATTCGATCAGCAAGATAAAAACAATTTCGACGTCAACCACGGAGATATGACCACAGAGATTCTGGCCTCATGGCACGTAAGGAAGCGGTGAAGCATTGGATCTCAGGAACAAAGAAAGGAAGAAGGGGGCGGGGGAGAATTTGAGTATTGAGAATCCAGTCGGATTGATTGACGACTCTCTTCATCGCAAGGAACCAAGCAATGTTGGAAGAAAGGATAGCTTTTCACAAACTAAATGGAGCCACTCGATGGTCAACTATTTGTGAGACAGGCTCGGTCTTGATGAAAGATATGTCGTTGTCCAAGATGGTCATTACCAGATCGGGTGCTCTTTGCTAGAATCAGCATTGGAACAAGGTTTTGGTGTCTCCTCGAAGACCAGTGCGGATGAGCGTAATGCCATCAGGAGAAGAGAAAGCATTTTACAGCGATCAAATTTGTCCTCGCGCTGGCTCTCGCGCTGACTGTGAGAAACATCAGGAAGTAGAGTGGTCTGGGAAAATGAGTCGGCCTCATGGACATTTAATTTCACACAGCGTAGTCGGCGTACGTACTCAACCGCTGGCCGCCTGGCAATCGCATCTTGATAGCAGAACCCATCCATCTCCAACCGGGATCCGCGATACTTTGTTGATCAACACAGCTTTTCCTGGCTAGTTGGAAACCCAGAGCTCAATACTCCACGATTTCGAGAAGAGCGTAGACGTTCTTCAGGGGCGACGAGTTCACGGGATGGGTTGCGCTGCTTCGAAAAGCGATGTGCCTGAGATCCTGAAACACGGCGATCGAACCGACCGGTGCGTTTGAGCAAAGCAGATGTCTGATTTCGTGTCATGGATGGTATTGTACATGTTGTCCTCGAGAGATTCTGGTCTATCTTTTGGGTTGATCCGAGTTCCGCGCGGCATCGAACGTGACCTTTCCATCACGGCTGACGCTTGCCATTGACAATCTTGGCTGCGAGGCGGCTGGCGAGACAGGTACGGCAGGACCCGGCTTGGACAGTTCCGGGGCGGCGGAGCGGACGCTGGAAATAGCCTCCTGAACAGTGCCTGCCGGGGTATCTGCAATCTCGTTCACCTCTTGGGCGGTCAAGACATCGATTACCCTCGCAGCTCTGCTCTGAATCAAGAGCGTTGTTGGGCCGCTAAACTGTAAGAACAACCGGTCCCCCCAAATAGTCCTTCGACTCCATGTTCGGATTCTGTAAAGCATATTGGCAATGAACTTGTAAGTGTTGCTGGTCTTTAACGTCTCGACGAATTTCGACGATGGGAAGAAGTTTCCGAGCTGAAGAGGTATTTGGAATTGAACGCTTGATGACTTGAATCGGAAGGGCAAAGGCACCGGAGAAGGTGATGATGAGCTGTAAGCGAGTATGTTGGAAGGATGGACTATGTAAGTCTCCCCCTCTGCAAGTTCAACAGAGTAAACTTGGCCTTGACCTGCGAGCGCCAGGAGTCCTCTTCCGGTGACGTTAGAACTCCCCCAGTATGCGAGCGAAAATCTTGTGTTTATACTCGGCTTCACAGAGAGCGTGCTGCCAGTCCATGCCAACAGAGCTTTTCTTTGCGCCAGCTTCCAGTCCATCGTGCCATCCAGCTGCAAAACAGCGAATGTGGTCATTGGCGACCTCGTGGCTATAAGAGCATTGGCGGGGGACGTCGAGGTAATCTTCTGGTACAGGAAAGGTATACCGATCAGGGCGCGGCGAACGGGATTGAGGATTCGCAAGGTCGAGACAGTCCCGTTGGGATCTCCAGCAAACGCCACCAGTGTTCCACGACGAGTATACAGCTCCTGGGAAGGAGAGAGGGTGACAGAAAGCAGCGAGAATGGACTTCCAATGACCTCGAATGAAGCGTCTGAATGAGTTAGTAGGTGCACCCTCTGAGCAAGAGATTGATCTGACCGGGTGATGCAGAGGTCAATGATCTACCCGCCACGTTGATTCTGCCGGTGTCTGTTGCTGGCGTCGCTTGCACCGAAATGTACTTGTATCCGCCAACCCTCCGTCCAGCGACCAAATGCGCCGGATACGCCCATTTCCGAGGGAACTTGGACAGACGTCGCAGGCTCTGAGCCGGAATCGGGGGCATCTTGGCGCCAGGTAGCGGTGGATTTTTGGGCCGAGGAATCCGACCCTGAAATAGGGCTGTTGGAGTCTATGTCGCTCAGAAGATTGTTTTCAAGTTTCGAAGATGCACTTGGAAGCTGCAAGCTTGGGTTCAAAATTGGACAAATATGCCAAGATGAAGATTCGGGACTACTCCGGATTGGGGTATGGGTGACGCCGCCCTGTGCTTCCCCGGGCGTGCCCGGCTCCCGCATCTCACCAGCCGTGGGGCTAATTTAACCACCTTGGTGAACATGAATGTCCATGAGGATTGAACGCCCAGATTGATATTAACCCACATGGCTCTACCTCGTACTTGAACTGATGATATTAGACCGCCCATCCCTTGACCATCGACTGATAACAGGTATAAAACCCCTTTAGTAAGGAGTCTCTTAGACCTCCTCACCTCCTATGTGCATCGAACAGCCGACTACCTAGTAACCTCGATTGGACTGCCAAGAAATACACGCCTCCGCAAGCCACTGCTACAGTGCCAGGTACAATGCTTTAAAGGGTCGGCACAAGGACGCGAACAAGTATCGAGAGAAAGTCCGCCTAATAGACCCCTGCATGACTCTAGCTTGCGTCTCAAAATTGGGAGCTTTTGGGGCTGCGTTGATAAATTTACAAGGCTAAACCCCCTCTGACATTTGCAAACTTTCCGCTGTTGAGCCTCTGCTTGGAGTGATGCGATTCTTACGACAGACACATGTTCAGTTATACCTAGCGGCACTGTCGCTACTACCCTTCGCCACAACTGAAATCGCGTTTACTTCGTTCCCCCCCGAAGCAGAGGTTGGCAAGAGCTACAAGATAGCTTGGACGGGCGCCAATGGACCTGTGAGACAGTTAACCCATGACATTGTGTGAAAGCCAAATTGATTTTAGATAGATTTATATTTGGAACAAGTAGGCATCGGCGTTTCCTGGATCGATCTTGTCTGTGACGGTATGCAGTCTCTCGTACGGTGAACTCTACTAATCGTTGGGCGTAGGAAGCGGAGAGGAGACCTTCTGGACACCATCCACGGAGCTCGAAGTCCACATTATGTATTGTTTCGTCATTTATGAACCTGTATCTGTCGAACAATACAGCACTTCGTATTTCCAAATCACAGCTAGTGCTTCGACAAACAGCACCACCTCCAGCATGCCAACACCATCCACGTCGACAAGTCCAAACACGTCGACACGAACCACGGCGCAAGTAACCAGGACCGTAACATTATCGAGCCTCGGCCGAAAATTCTGCGGCCACCAACTATATGAGCAAACCAAGTGGACTAAGCGCTGGAGGTATAGCAGATGTCGTTCTTGGGACAGTTGGCCTGTTATTACTCTCAGTCATCTCCGCCCTACTGTGCTGAAAGAAAAGGTTGCGCAAAAGCCTTACACAAGAGAGAGATCCGCAACGAGCAGTGGAAAATAAGGAGTCGAGCAATAGCTCTGCGGCAGAACTCTCCAGCAGACCGATCTCATCCGGATTGCATGGCCAGTCGAGGACGGAGTAAGTAGTACCGGGTTAAATGAGAGAAGAAGGGACTTGAACGACAACTGCAAATATCGAAAACAATCATAATATCTCAAACTTATTGCCTACTTGCCATGCTCGCACCACAACATCCTCCCATACAAGACGTAAACCTCGACGAATCTCTCCCCAGTCACGAATTGTAGCATAGCTCTAGCTACGAGCTGTTCTAGGAGAGCCTCAGTCTGTTGTGGCTGTCACGGCCCCAGTACTCGGTACAAGTACGTATATATACAAAGAAGAGGCGGGTTGAGGGGGCAGATTCCCTAGCTACGGATTATCTGATGACATCATACCTTAGCGCCTTGGCACTACAATTCCCGTTCCTATACTCGGTAGCGCGTAATACTTCTGCCTCGTTTGTCTCAACGTATCTAGGTAGATATCACAACACCAGGACCTGTATGATCTCGCTCCTTGCCCTGTCCAAACCATCAACGAGGCCCTCAGCCAGCCATGGCTTGGTTGGCGTAAAAACCACGCAATACGGAGTCCGATTTCAGAGCCGCTGCAGCAGCTCACCCGATTGGAACCGAGGTGGTTCTACCCTGTGCTCACCAGCTAACCCCTTGATGGCCTTAGCCGAAAGGGTGTAAGAAACAATCAAAAGTCAATCAAAATCTCGAGTCATTCACGACACTATCAATTGCATGACATGGTTTTACAAGAAATACTGGAGTTGATATCTATTCAGTATTGATACGCATCAATTACCACTCGACATGTCAGGGGGTGCTCCGATCAGGAGGCGCTCCTCCGACATGGCTCCTCTCACCGCTCTTATAGCTCGATATCCTGTTCTCCAAAACCTTTCATCTTTCCTGTCGACGATAGACCTCTTCAACCTAGCACGTACCAACCGAACCCATTACTCATACATTTTACTTTCACGGACTACTTTCGATACTCTGTGCCGTAATTGTCTCTGCGATGGCAGCGGCCTCGCTAAACGTCAAAATTTCGTGGGACTATATAGCCTTGAACATCGGAACTATCGTTGGGGCAACAAACGCAGGATATGGCAAGACGAGCCTATTGAAATTCAGCTATATAGAACCAAGTGTGATAGTGCACGCGCTTTGCCATGCCGGAAATGTGGCATCAATGTCTGCGAGGTGAGTTTAAAGAGCATCGCTTCACTTGTCAAGCCTCAACACCCTGAAAGTTGCTTCGTACTCATACCGGTTGAATCAGGAATGCCGGTACTATCCCCGCGAGCCTCCACTAGCAGGCTATCCTAAACGCCGGCCACATCTCAACAGCCCTTTTCAGAATGAAAACATAATATGTCTTTGTCCCGACTGTGACGCCAAAACGGAATCTGAAGAAATCCAGGGCAATTTCCTAAACGAGCTTTGTGACTGTGACATCTACACACGCTGGATATGCCACAAATGCGCCGGGGAAGAAGAGGAGTTCACGCGGGACCATTATGCCAATAATACGGCCCACGAATGGGATGAGCAACGATGGAAGGATGGCGAGGGCAAAACGAAAATGATGATTGACCACCAGCATCCCATAATGGTATGCCTTTACACTCAGATCGGCTAGTTTCCGACTTATTAAGTTGCCTTGGACTAACGCCTAATCCACCAGTTCTTCTGCCCGTGTGGTGCTTACGTCCCCACAGACACTCGACCACGATGCACGTGGTGTAAACGGAGACATCTGCCAGAGACTGAGTGGAGTCAAGAATTTGTGGAAGTGGGTTCTAAGATGCCCATCTTCGACAGTGTGAGTGAACACTTTGGTGGTATCTTTCCTGCTATCATCTTAAGTACTGACCGTGTACGTAGGATCCGTGCTATCCACCGTATGTCGGAGACACTACTGCAGCAGATATTTGGAGCGACCTCGGGCGACCCTATCCGCCGCTCCAGTACGATGGCCCAATATGGGAGGTGCCTTGGCAGCGTGGATGAGCGCCCGCCTGAGCTTCGAGCAGCGTTGACATTGCTTGAAATGCCAAGATGAACAAAGACTACGGAATTACTGCAGCGCATCCGATTGGAATGGAGGAGGTGCTTGCCTGGACGCGGTACAGAGTACTCACCCCGAGCCACGGCTAGCCTGAGGGGGTCAGTCATCACACATGTCTCACGAGTCGTAGAGGCTACCGAGATGGTCTTTTACGGATGTTAAAGTGCCAAACTCACCAGTTTCCGCGGCTCCTCGAGAACAAAGTCAGCGGGCTCGCTCCAAAAGGTGCCACCGGGCGGATTTATGAAAAGGGCTGGCCTAGTCTCTGTTCTTTTAAGAGATCGTCAGTCTCCGAAGCCGTGGCAAGTGTTGGGTACCAGTTTCTTTTCTGGACCAGATTCGGGACTTCTTGATAGGTTAGTTAGGCTGGAGCTCTAACAAAGGAATGCCACGACTCTAATTTTTCTGCATGCTAGACAGGGGTTTCTGATGGTGGAATATTTTTTTCACTAAAATGAGTAGAACACTACCTAATATTCATGAATAAAAGACACAAGAATCCCCCTGGGGCATTTCCACTCCTTAGGTATCTCCTTTTTGGATAGACCCGTGGCTCCAGTTACAGCCTTGCTGCAGCGGATATATCAGGCCTTGGGAATTTACTCCAAGACCCAACGTCAACACCGTAGTTTCCGAGGCTTGCGCTTGACAAAGGCACAATTGTTGCTCGCCACGAAGCTCCGGCCACCGGGCCCATAAGTAGTCCACAATCCGAGTCGTCATCGTAGCCACTTTCAGAATTGAGGCCACTGTCGAAGGAGAGCCCCTCCGAGGTCAAGTCAGCTTGAATTTTCAATTTGCTGAACTTGGTCATTGAAATGGCCATGCTTGACCCCGCAAGGAATTGGTGGTTGAAAGCTTGGAAAGGAGTACCGTTTACGTCCTTCGGGAAGTGTGCTAATGGCAGATCTCACGTAGCTGCTAAAGTTGGATGTTGGGTCGGTCAATGATTCTCTTTGCTGCTCGACGGTCGAAGTCTCCGACTGAGCTCTAAGACGTGCATCTGCGCGTTGCAAGAGCGAACCTTGTGATTGAAACCCTCCGAAAATTGCGGCCGAGGGTGGACTTCCGTTTCCAGATGGGCTTGCTATGAACTGATGGTAAAGAGCTTAAGGTGTTTGGAGATCCCCTCCTGCTGACCTCTCCAGGCCCCGAGATTCTGACTGCCATGGGCTGAAAGGCATGTGAGGTCGCGCTCTTTCCACCAGTTCATAACATTGCCTAAAAGCAGTCAGTATCGCTTGCGCCTGACCCGCTGGAGACCAGGTCTCTGTCGAAAGTAATACTCGAGTATCAGGGACCTACGCAACGCAGTAGGTACAAAGGAATTGGAGTAGCTGAATGCCTTATTCTATTCACGTAGTCCTATTGACAACGACTCAACGCTTGAGAAAAAGGAAGAGTTCTCTCTCAGCCGATTCAGGTGAGAGGAGACTCTTATAGCTTCCCCTCTTTCTGTCACGTGAAAAGGGTAAGGCAGCGTTAACCGATAGCCTTGTGCCTCAACCGTCCTTTGCCTTATCCTTTCCTTTTCTTTCTATACCGTCCACCCGATTCGGGTGGAGGGCGTAGAGTACTTGGGGACAACGGTGGGCTCGTGACATCGAGGCAGCCATGAAAGAGCTCAAACTGCTAGTACTGTAAATACGGTACCCGGATTTCAATGCAGAACACATCCTCAGATACAATACTGTGGTCAGATAACAGTGAGATGTGCTTTGGAATATGAAGCAGGCATCGCCGAACTAACGCAACACACATCGAACAAAGTTAAACAAGGACTGGTCAGCTTGGACTTGCATCCACCATCGACTAGCTAGCTTTCGCGATTGGGGATAAGCATAGAGCAATGTAAATAGCAAGGCCCAGAATGCACGCCTAGCACCTGCCATACCGCTAGAGATATTGATTTTGGGATGGAACATAGAGGTGTTTGCAGTTGATGTACAAGAAACTCCGGAAGACAGATCATCTGCAGCAAAAGAGCCGGTATCGAAAAATGAGAAGAGATAGACTGTTTCTGTTTGCTTTGCGACTTGTCCTTGCAGAATCGCTTTCCGCGCTCACGATATCGAAGCTGTTTTTTGGGTTCTGTTCGGGAGGTTGTTGAATATGCCATCGTATCCTGCAGCGCTTTCGCCATGGTCTGCTTCTGACTTTGAATCATTGAGTATAGGACGGCCAACATTTCTTGTATCTGTTGCTTATTCTCTGTCAGCATCTCATCTGTCAGATTACTAGCATGATCGGCTAGACTTTCGATTTTTTTTGGTTGCATTCCGTTGACGGTGGTCTCCATGCTGGCTGACACATGACTTTTGATTGCGGCATGATCTCTCTCTCCTATGTGGTTCTGCACCATACAGAACAAGTCAGACAATTTCACAAAGCTGTGTCCAATTCAACGAAGAGTCTGTAGAATTGCAGCATCCACAGCAAGTCTACTCCCGGCATCGGAGTCTTGTAGCTCCTTCTCTTCCGGAAAAGCCCACTTTAATTGTTGAGTGCGCAGATGGCCCTATTTGCAGCTCGCACACCTCCTAAGCTGAGAAGGAGCCAAGAGCCGACGCTCTACTCATAGATGCCGGTAGTGGCATGTAATAAATCTGCCTCAGTGGTGTGATGGCGCAATATCACCGACGGAAAGCGTACACGAGGAAAGGACACCAAGTTCACCGGAGGTGTCGCAAGGACAGAATTCTAGCACGAGCCTCCACGGCCACTGGCGAGAAAAGAACTCAAGCCTGCAACATAACAGCGATTTAAATAAAGAGAACCGTGGTACTCGAGTTTCACCCGTCCAAACATAATTTGGGAATGGGAAGATTGGGTAAGTTGGTCGAGGATACATGACTTGAGTGAGAAACCTTCATCGCAGCCGCCTGACTCCGCCAAAAATACGGATCATATGAAAGACGACACCACAAAATGCTCAAGACCAAAAAGTACCTAGATATAGTCGTGAACGAAAAACCTTTGCCAAATCCGGCTTGATCCTAGGGGGCGAGCAGAGGCCGGTTTAACCTGAGCTTTAATTGAGCCTCACTGAGCAATCCCAGAGCAGCTCACCAAGCTACAAGGGGATATGTGTATATATATATATATATATGTAACACCAAGAGAAAGACAGAAGGGTGGTTGGACCTAGCAATTGACTCAATCCGTGGTGCATCCAGAGCAAAGCGTTCAACTTGCTTCCTAATATATACATATATATGTGTATACATGTATATATATACACAAACTCGGTATATATATTCTGTTGGTGCTGCTTCACTGCCGAGTGTAAAATTCTGCCGTATTTTCTCCGGCGGAGTGCGCAGTCCCGCTGTTCCCTTGATAGTCATCTTGCTCTATGGATTGTGCTCCCTCGTCTTCGCCGCCAACAAGCAATAGCGATTTTCTTCCAAATATCAACCACCTCTTACTCTACAGAAACCGACTCGATCGTCTCTCTTGAAACCATGGACGCATCTGAAGTCGACTTTAAGGAGTTTCTTCTGATTCGCTGTGGGAGAGCACGATACCAAATGACGTGGCAACCACCCGTCCATCAAATAAATCAGCAGCTACCCCGCCAAGTTCGCCGTGCCTGATCTCAGCACAAGAGGAATGTTCTTTGTATCCCTCCCACCTCATTGAAGTGATTTTTGAGAGTCGTTTTAAACTGTGGAATTGGGTGCAATGGCGGACCCATTCGGGATCATGGGCGTTATCGGCGTCGCGATCCAGATCCTCCAGCTGGCGTCCAATTTGGATTGGATTGGAATGATGCGCCAGCCGACACCAAAAGCTTCATAGCCGAGCTTGAAGTTCTAAAAACTATCCTATCCGAAACGAAGAAGCATATCGTCGACAATCCAGAGTTTATGGAAGCATTCAAAGGCCGTCACTCTACCTTGCTTTCACCACTGGGAGAGACATCACCCACCACGGACACTCCCCTTCTCATATCGACCTGCCGATCCGAGCTAGAAAGTCTCCTTGAGGATTTGGAGAAGCGGTATCAAACTCATCGAGTGAGCTGGGAACGACTAAAGGGAGTCTTCCTCACTAAACGAATGTGAGAGACTGTTGAAAACCTCCATCGGAAGTGCCAGGCCCTGAATAGCATAGCAATTATCGATGCTGCGACTCTCGGAGCAAGTACTTATAACAAGGTCAACCAAATCTACATGCGACAGCAAATGTCGGACTAAGCCGAGAATGATCAGCTCAGAAAACAGAGGAAAACGGCACTGATCCAGAAGCTTAATACTTCTCCCTATAGAGATCGTAAGGACAGGAACCCAGGGCGAGTGAAAGGGACATGTGAATGGTTCACACATCATCCACTATTTCAAACTTGGGAAGAGAGCAAATCGTCGTGCTTGCTCTAGGTACCTGGAGACCCAGGATGCGGAAAATCAGTTTTGGCAAAATACCTAGTGGATGATGTGATCCCAAGCACTCATACGAGAACTACTTGTTACTTTTTCTTTAAAGACGACTTCAGCGATCAGAGAACCTTGGAAAGCTCCTTGTGCTGTATCTTGCGTCAAATCTTCATCCAAAGACCCGATCTGCTATCAGAAGACATTCTCAACAAGTTTGAAGAGGTTGGTGATTAGCTCATCGGCCCCTTTCGTGGCCTCTGGGATATTCTCATCGACGCCACAGTGAAGCAGGATGTTGGCAATATTCGTGTTTCGACGAAACAATCTTCTAGCTAGGTTGTCTGTGTCATGGATGCCCTGGATGAGTGTGAAGATAGGGGTCAACGTCAATTAGCGGAAGCTTTACGCAAGCTCGAGTGGGCTAGACTAGGCAAGGTTGCCTTGAAATTACTACTGACAAGTCGACCATATACTCATATTCAACGCCAGTTCGGCTTTTTCAACAATCTCATACCTGCCATTCACCTAAATGGGGAAGGTGAGGCCGAGGTCGAGAAGATTTTCAGAGATATCAATGTTGTTATTGAAAGCAAAGTTAAGGACCTTGGCTCCTTGCTCCAGCTCCTCCCCGAAGAACAACAAACTCTGAAAGATGAGCTGAACCGGATTCCGCATCGGACATATCTCTGGGTCCACCTGATATTTGAAATTATCAAGGATAGCGTCGACATTACGAAAGAGTCCTTACGCACAGCTGTCCGCAATCTTCCCCCAACAATCGAGGCTGTTTACGATAAAATTCTTTGCAAGACTTGCAATCCTTCAAAGGCCAAGAGGATTTTGCACATTGTCGTAGCCGCTGCAAGGCCATCGTCTCTGGGAGAGATGGGCCTGGCTCTGGCGATCAGAGAAAATCACAAGGGATATGGTGATCTCGACCTCGAACCAGAAGGCCGATTTCGCAGCACCGTTAGAGAGATCTGCGGCCTCTTTGTGACCATTATAGACTCGAAGATCTACCTGCTTCACCAAACTGCCAAGGAATTCTTAGTCCAGAAAATGCCCTGGAACTCAGATAGTATTATCACCAACGAGACAGGCTTTCTTCATTGGAAATCTTCCCTCCGGACAACAGAGTCTCACCGAATTCTCGCAGAAGTCTGCATGTGGCGCCTCCTCTGGAAAGACATTGCAGTCTATACTGCCGACGTGGCCGCGGACTCAAAGGAATGTGTCAACAATCATATTTTGCTCGATTATTCTGCCCAAAATTGGGTAACTCATTTCCGCAATGCCCAATTGGATGACAACCACGCGATGGTTTCCATGGCATCCGGACTTTGTCATCAAGATCCAACCACTCCGTTATTTTGGTTCAAGAGCTATTGGATGAGTCAACGTTTGAATGAGCGTATGGTTTATCCCAAAGGACTCACCGGGCTCATAATTGCTTCTTTCTGTGGGCTTGAGTGTGTGGTCAAGTTACTTCTTGAAATGGACGGTCTTGACTTGAACTCGAGGGATGATAGGTACAAGGGGACTGCATTGGCGTGGGCCGCCGAGTACGGCCACGAAGGCGTGGTCAAACTTCTGATTGCCAGAGATGAAGTCGACATTGATTCAGAAAATTCCCAGCGTCGGACGCCGTTGTCGTTCGCTGCCGAACTCGATCATGAGGTCGTCGTCAAAATGCTCCTTGAAAGCGGGAAGGCGGCTGCGGATGCCAAAAGTAATTATGGCCGGACACCATTGTCGTATGCTGCCTCAGGTGGGAACGAGCGGATTGCTGAGCTATTGCTGGGCACGGGCCAAGTCGATCCGGATTCCAAGGATAATAACAACCGCACGCCCCTTTGTTGTGCGGCATGGTGTGGTAGAATCGCCGTTGTCAAACTGCTGCTCCAGACACACAGGGTCGAAGCCGACTGTGGGGATGACTACGGTAGGACACCGCTTTTATCTGCAGCCCGGAATGGACATGAGGACGTTGTTAAATCATTTCTCAGCACAGGGGAAGTCGACGGGAATTCTCAAGATTCGAGAGGACGGACTCCAATATGGCGCGCTGCGCGTAGAAAGCATGACACCATTGTTTGGTTGCTTCGACTCTCGGGCTCTGAATAGGATTTGAAATCTTTCGATTTTGAATTGTATTATTTACAGCGATGCTTGCTGTCTGGTGATCTCGAGCGATGCTGAGGGACGAGAAGTCTCCTGTGCTTTCCTGTGCACACATCTCCCTGGGAGTACAAATTTTGTACCGGGGTTGTAAACTAGTGGGAGAAGTGATTCTCAATGGATATTTCCAGGTATCCTTTGCCTTCATGACTGCCTCTAAGAGACAGGAGGTTACAACACCTTCCATATTCTCGGTATATTCCAAATTGGATCGACACTTCGACAAGTTAGATTCAGAAAGACGAGCTCCATCAAGGAAGAATCGCTTATCATGTGGCCTGGCCGGCGTTCGTCTTCAGTGACGGCCCTGTTTCCCAGTTCAAAATTGCTCCCATTATCATTAGCTGCGTCCATCAGGAGCCTGAAGTCTGCTTCTCAACTGACAGTAACTTGAGCGCGGGCATCACCAATTTGAACACCTGAATGTCACGGACAATTCGCTTCGGACCTTTGCGAAGCTGCCAAGGCTTGTGAAAAACAATCCTACCTTTGTACAAACGCAAGGAGGTTGAGCCTGGTCACGTAATACGTGAGGTCGAAGATCTTCTGACGACCTGGTCTGGGGCGAAAGCGGGCCCCTTCTTGAACGACGGTATTCTTCGCAATGGCTCTGGGTATCATCTACGATGACTGGGCACTCTGTCACAGTCAGATTTGCATCTGACTATCGGGGTTTGAATGGACGTATGCCTGGTTCCGGTCAGCCAAATAATGCAGTCGGAACCCAGTGTTGGCCGCCACTTGGACGGAAGTGGACTTGACGGTGGCCCTCCGGGGATGCCAGACTGAGAGCCCGGGTTAGATCTGGTATCTAAGAGGATTCCAGGCACAGGTGCACGATCTGAACAATCTAAGGATAATTCAGACACTAGTGCAGGGGCTCCAGGTACCGGCACACGGCCCGAAGAAGGTCCTGGCTGAGCCGCCCGAGGGCTGTTGGGTCTAGATCGGTGCTAGAGGGGGGGACATGGAGACTCCGGACGAACTCGAATTTGTTAATGTTGTCGAGTTGCTGGCATCAACGGACCGCGGTTGTGATCTAGAGCGGCTTCGAATTCAGGGTGCGACACAATGTGAGATCGAGCCAACTGGGATGTCATCTTGGCACTTTCTTGACTGATTTGCGAGTGAGATACCTACCGGTTTGCACGTCTACTCTCTGTCACGGCCCTTTTGCACAAATCAAAAGTTTTGCCTCACGTGTACACAGAGATCTGTTGAAGGTGCCACTGTGGCAAACTGTGGCAAATCGGAAAACCTTTCAGAAGTTAACCTTGAGAGGGTTTTAGGGTCCTTCAGGAGGCACTCCAAAGTGCTTCAGGGGCTTTACAGGATTACTCTTGATCACAGGCAAATTTTTATATAGATGGGAAGCAGCCCTCCGAAGTATCAGACGGATCAAGGAATTACAAGCAATTCGCAAGATCAATGCAACTACACATAAAGCTACATTACACAACACTTCCTCATGGCAACCATAAATCTAACCATCACTCATAATTATAGTGATGAGGACAGAGAAATATTCCGGTAATATGTGCCGTTTTCGGGCATATTTCTGGTTTTGAAGCCAAGGTTCTGCTTTTTCCGAATCGTAGCAGTATTTTTGGAAGTGAAACTGGATATAAAGGGACCAGCTCCAGTGTGAGAGGATAGACAGAATTATAGACAGAATAGAAATCATTACAAGAGCCACGTATGAAGTGCAACGTTGTGTTTGACACATTACAACTCAGTAATCACCCAAGCTACATCTACACAAGTTCTAGTTTTTCAACGCTCGACATCTAGCCCGTCATTAAGATGGCAGACACACCCACTTCCGTAGAGAGTTGTCCGTAGGGATGACATTCTTAGATGCAAATAGAGTCGCCAGTATCGAAATCTCAGGCACTTCTTTAGAGATATAACTAATTAGCGCAGACAGAGTTGATCACTTCAGGGTGTGTAGGCTAAGCCTTCGGTGAGCCTGGCTGACAAACTTCCGAAGCAGGGGGTAGGGAGCCCAACCTTGTTCCTTTGGTATGACTCCCTACTTGTAGGGAGGCAGAGATGCAGCCAAGGTCTCAACTGAGTTCTATCCCTTTACGATAAACAGCATGAGTTCAAACTGCTCAACAGATGCTGCAACGAACCGAAAAGACCTACCTAGTAGAGAGAAAAACAGTGTCAGTCTTTAACTCCGTCAAGGGGGCAAGTAGCATAGTCGAGTGCCTCGACCTGGCTTCTAAGCCAACATAAGGACGCCTTCATCAGAATTCGAATTATCATGGGTTGACAAGTCGTACTCTGCCACCCATAGCCTTCTCCAACAGAGGATGTCCTTCAGCTAAGTGTCGATAATGGAATCTTCGGTAAACACCTCCTCTAACGGCTGCCGGGCTTGCGGGAAAAGGGGATGAAGAAGACACTTCCATCGCTTTAAGCTCGCCCGTCGACAGAGTCGTCGAACGATACAAGTGAAAGCATGAAAAACAGGAGCAAACTTGAAATCTGCTCACCTTGACAAACAAGCAGTAACTTGATACAGGCTAAGGCTGAACTGTGTGAAACAAATCGAACTCTTGAAGAGTCTGTCGGCGTACATCGGGCGTTTGTAAGCGATGCATCTGCTCTCCTTGTCCCCGTGATCTCGTCTAGGCCTCTCACTAACACCTTTCGCGAAATCACCGGGACAGAGGATTGGTAGTAAAGTCGAAAATGCGTCAAAGACGGAAGGGTCGGCCCCTGCACCAATTTTGGATCCTCGATGGCGCTATACGCGGTGAAGTAAGAAGTACGAGTGAAAGTGAGACACAGAGCAGATATACGGAGTACAAGCGGCATGGCATCGGGCGAGTTGCACGTGAGCCTGAAGCAGCGTACCTCGTATTTCATTGCCAACCCGCTAGCGCAGGCGAAGTCTCGGAGTCTAATCAAGGTCGACCGTGTTTCTTTGCTTACTTCCTTCCGCATATCGCCCTGAAGGCAGTCAAAATCTAGTCAGATGCGGCCAATTTCCAGCATCCGTACTTCCGGGCCTACGAGGCTGTGCCATCATTCAGCAGTGTCGCCGAATGTTTGAGCCTTGGCGACATGGAAGTACGGCGCGGGCTCGGGTGTCCTGGGCGTCTTGACGCAACAGAAACATGATTTGGGATTCCAGTACCCCACAAAGTGACGGGTTGAAGACTGGAGATATGGCGTCCAAAGCAAGTGACGTCCGAAATTTCCTGCTAAGTCGTCGCCGCAGGTGGACTACGCATAATGCCCTCGGATGGTCTCCTCAGCAATGCCTCCTTGACACCTCTGGAGTGCATACTTCCTTGGTTGATGTCTTGGTAGGTACACCGATTTTTTCAGGGCCAGTCCTATCAATGCTCCGGGTCCTTGGGAACTCCACATCTGTATGATGGTTTACAAGGAGCAATTGTGTCATGAGGAGGCTGCAAATCAATGCCTCAGCCCTGACGTGAACTTCGGGGTCGTTTGCGAGGGGGTAAGTTGGGCTGTCTAGATCGAGCGCCACCCCAGGGACAGAAATGCTCGCCTCCATTCATCTGCGCAGGCCACCGGCAAACATTCAGGTAGGTGGACAACGAGAACCTGTTGATCTCAGCAATATGAGTGAAGTTAGATAAAGTTCTGAGCGCCTATTCTCCGACACGCGCCGCCCATCGTCTTTGAGGTCCAACATCTCAACATCACGCACAAGCGGCTCAAAACGTCCCGGAACACCTTCCTGCAGTCTATTCTTATACCAACGATTTTGTGTGCCATGATGGCGCTACCGCCTCTTGCCACGGGCTGAAATGTTATAAAAGGCGCTTTCTCGCACACTGCAAGCGTTTTGAAACATCTACAGATCCTTCGTGCCCTGGGTTGCTACTGGAAGTCGACTGAGATACCGTCAAACGAGCAACAACATCAACATGCGTTACATTCGACAACTCCTGGGTCCAGCTTGGGTCTATTTGACCCTTGCCTTGCCGGGCCAAGCTGCTCCGGTCAACCACTCCACGCCCGCATCACCTTCTTCTGTCTCCATTCAGTTCCCTGTTGGCGCAAATGGACCAAACGCACCGGTCGTGTTCCCGCTGTCAAATGGATTTCCAAACATAGCAAAAGGCACTCCAGCTTTCCAGCAATTGACGGTCCAAGCTCATGGTTCCGTATCGAATGCACCGCCTCCACCCTCTTTCGCAGCGGATGACCTGCGAAGCTTCAAGGTTATCCAGATCCAAGAGACATTCGAAGTGTATTACTTCACCCAATTATTGCTTAACATCACAAACAATGTCCCTGGCTTCGAGATCACCGACCTATCATTGAAGCAAGACATCATTGAAAAGTTGACGGTCATCCAAGGTCAGGAGCAGTGGCATGCTCTCAACGCCGGCGGTGTTCTACAACACTTTAACGTTTCCCAGATTCAGCCTTGTATTTTCAAGTCTCCCGCCACCGACCTCACAAGCGCCATCGACATTGCCGCAAACTTCACGGCGGTCGTCATCAGTTCCCTTCAAGATGTCGCAGTCCGGCTCGGCCAAAATGGCGACTCGGGTGTCATCCGGGGTGTGGTTTCTGTGGTTGGCCAGGAAGGAGAACAGCAAGGCATTTACCGCACATTAGGCAGTGACCTTGTCCCATCGGAGCTCCCATTCCTGACCCAGTCAACCCGTGAGTTTGCATACTCTTCACTTCAGCAGAATTTCATTGTGCCTGGCACCTGTCCCAATGACAATACCATCGACGTGCCGATCTTCGGAACTTTGAACGTCTTGACCACAAACATTCAAGCCATCGACCAGGTTCTCACTTTCAGCATCCAGAGAGATTCGACCGAAGGTCTCAGCCTTGTCTACCTCAACCAACAAAATCTACCCATCGTTGAAGCCATCACCAACGCATCTACCAAAAACGGTGTGACCACTTTCTCAGCCAACTTTCCATTCAGTCAGAATTCAATGAACGGCCTTACGATTGCGGCGGTGGTCAATTCGACCGGACCGTTTATGAATGCCAACGACGTTGCGAACAAGACCCTCTTTGGCCCTGGCTTAATTTACCCTAATTAGTCTAGTGGGGGACGATTGGCGACGATGTTGATGGAGCGAGACTGGCTAGCTTTCAGCGAAATTTCTTCGATCTAATACATTTGTTAGTGCTCTCTTGTTCGAGCTGTACATAGTCAACACGAGGACTCTATCCTATCCGGAGTGAAGACAACACCGTCCAGCTCGTTAATATACTGCAAAATGCCTTCTCACAAAGACACTTTTCTAGGTAGAACGACCATAGCGACGTGCATCGGGGAAGTGTCAACCTTTGCGAGATTGCTTTTCTTCTTTTGACATTCCCTTTTCTTTTTTCCTGATTGACGAGGATCACAAGATCAGCGTTTACCTTCGGAGAGTGAATCGACTGGCCGAATCCATGCCACCCCGCCTCCCTATGTATGTTCTTATGGCGGTGTAGTTCGCTGCAGCTGAATGGCGAGCACAGACAATGGTCCCCTGCCTCAACGAGTGGCGTTCACTGGTTGCAGGCTAAGTGAAGTCAAGGATTCAGTTGCCGACTGGGAGCCTTGTTCCATATCCCACCTTCTGTCCCGTGTGCCCACCCCCCAGTCAATCAATCGATGTGAACAAGTAGTATGCGGTTCCGACACTCCGCAGACCCCCAACCCTCAATCTTGACCCGTTTTCGCCTCGCGTGGGCATTCAACCGAAGATCAGCCTAAAATGGCTTTCTTGTGCGACTCCCTCCCTTGCATCCCCTCCATAGTTGCACATCAACTTCGCCCATGACTCACATATTAGATGCAAAATGGCCCAAGGTTTACCAGAACGGAGGTCGATCCGTAAGTACTTAATGGGGATCTGCCCTGCCTAGCAGTGCGGCTTAGGTGGTTACCGGTCTAGCAGGTGGGATGCACCTTTCGGGGGCAGTTTCCCCTCCCCTCACTTGCATCTCACTTCCACTTTCACTTTGCACCATACCATCATCTTAAAATGGAGGGTTGCGGATCACCGCCACCCGCTGGTTGCGACGCGAGAGGGCTGCGTGACCGAAAGTTGGAGACACTTTCTTTCCACCCAAAGGTTGGTTCCCTTTTCGATTCCAATCCTTTCTCTCCTTTCCTCTACTTTGCAGGGGAGAAGATTGGTGTGCATTCGTGGATTTCGTTGCCACCACCAGGACCAAATCGGTTTCACCTCTGTAGAGAGTGAGAGAGATATGCCAGACCAGCGGCAACAGACTAATCCTTCAGAGCGAGATGACGATGCATATCCATACCAGCAACTCGCTGTCTTGGGTGAGTATCATGCCCTCTGCTCATATGGTGCTCAGCTCCCAGAGCTAACGACCACAAACAGCATTATGCCGCCTTGCCGAGCCCATTGCCTTCTGCTCAATCACAGCCTACACCTTCGTAATGGTCGTCGACATCAAAGGCGACGAAAACGCCTCATTCTACGCTGGCCTGTTAATCTCTGCGTTCGCCATGGCCGAAGCCTCTACAGCGATGATCTGGGGCCACATCTCCGACCGCTATGGGAGAAAACCCATCGTGCTGCTGGGACTTGCCGGAGTTGCGTTGTCGAGTCTGATTTTTGGGTTTGCCAAAAACTACTGGGTCGCTCTATTGGCGAGAGTAGTGGGTGGGCTCTTGAATGGGAACGTGGCTGTCATGCAGACTATGGTGGCCGAGATGGTGAAGAGACCGGAGCATGAACGTAAGTCTGCTGAAACATCGAAAGCGTTACAAGTTCCCCCTAAAGCTGAGTTTGGACTTCAGCGACAGCATACGCCGTTCAGCCCTTCGTGTGGAGTTTAGGCTCCATTGCTGGCTCTGCTCTGGGAGGCTTTACCGCACAACCCGCCCGATTCTATCCACATCTCTTCTCCCCTGATGGAATCTTCGGCGAGTATCCTTACCTCTTGCCTAACCTAGTTGCGGTAGCGATCATTGCCATCGCCATCATCCAGGGCTGTATCTTCCTCAACGAGACGAATCCCGTATCACGGTCATCAGACACACGAGGCACGGTCATCGGCGCCGCCATTGTCAATGAGACAACACCCCTATGGTCGAGGCAGAGGAGAGAATCGGCGGTCAGCGCCTTTTCAGCAGGGCCCGGCGGGCTCACTTATGTTGCGGAGTCCATGCCCGTAGCTATTGATCCTACTTTCGACCTTCGGCGTCCGTCTTTGGCTTCTATTGGCTCACTTAAGCCACTGGTGAAGGTCGGATCACAAGTCGAAGCTGTCATTCAAGACGAAGACGACGAGCAGACCGCAAAGCCGGAGCAGATCAGGGCTTTCACCAAGCCCGTCATTATGTGGACCACTGCTCTCGTGGTGATGTCATATCACTCAATGGCCTTTGGTTCTGTTCTCCCTATTTACCTCCTCGACGATCCAAGTAGACCTCCACGCGAGCTTGACCTAAAGGGAGGGCTCGGCATGACCCTGCACGAAGTGGGGACGTACCTCGCCACCAGCAGCGTCATGTCGTTGTTTTTCCAAGCGGTTGTATTCCCGATTTTCGTGGCGAAGTTGGGTGTCTGGAAGGCTGTCTTGTCCGTTACGCTTCTGAGCCCTTTCATCCACACGGTGGTGCCACTTGTCTCCCTCCTTCCAAATCCAGGGGCGGGCGTTTACGCTGTGCTCGCATTGCAAAGCTTCACGGGCGTCGTATCCTTTCCAACCTTTTTGATTCTGTTGAAGAACGCGACGCCGTCGCCGTTGGTACTAGGGAAGGTGAATGGGCTAGCCATGTCAGCGTGCTCGGCTGCTAGAACAGTGGGCCCTCCACTTGTCGGCATATTCTACAGCAGCCTAGGCTCGGCAGGGGCTTGGTGGAGTTGTGCCCTTGTGGCCATAATTGGGGTTGTCCAGTTTTACTTCTCCCCCCGGCCACGGGATGACGATGAGAAGATATTGCGGAGAGCATCGACGACTACTGTCGAGGTCCCGCCCATGGCCGATGTGGCGCGGAACCGGGAGGAGTAATGATGTCGCAGGGTTATTGCGTACCCGCACTATGTTGGAAAAAAGTTGACGAGTTCGTAACGGAAGAAGGACAGATAGGCGACTGTGAGTGTTTGTAGATCCCGGCTATCATCTGTCCGCTGTATATAATATCGTCACTGCATCACGACTCCAATTTTCATGCCCAGGGGATCTCTTTCATTCCGGAGCACCACACGAAAGTGTTCTGGCACCGTGACCTGACTAAAGGCCTCTCGAGGCAATCTTCCCCCTTGCGGGATAGGCAGAAGAGCTCTAGAACGGATTGCTATCCCGCCTCAGTCCACGTGAAGAACACGTTCGCCTGGACGGAGCTGGCGCTGCACAAAGTCCCTGACCCGGCGATCGTCTTGCTGCCCGACCAGGCCAAGAAGGCTCCAACGGGAATCGTTCGCGACCGGGATGCTCGTGTGCGTGGAATCACGCGTGGACAGTGGCGGCGGAGGAGGAGGCGTGAGCTTCTCGGCGCGCAGGATCGGGAATGTGACCGTGCATGTCCTGCATACCGATATTCAAGACGGCGCTGCACAGAGAAGGGGCTTCAACTTGGCGTAACGTACAGACCGAGGAACCGGACAAGGCTTCTTGCGCGGTTGGCTACATCAACCTGGAGACGATATTTTCTCGCTATAAGCCCGTAGCATAACGTAGATCGAATCCAGTGGCAAATGTTTTGTCGATGCCTGCTATCGCCGGCAGGTTGTCCCCGGGATCAAACAGATCCCTCTCTGAATACGCGCAAAGTCAATCCTTCGAGCTGATGCAGGGGTCGTGTGTCTTTCTTTTCCTATTTCCAATCGGCCGTCGTGGGGCAAGAGCAATACTTGCTATCTACGACAACCTTCTAGTCTTCTTTCCGCTTTACCCTGGAGACGTCCTGGTGGTGTTCCAGAAAGAGACCATTTCCACATTCACAAAGCATCCCTTCGTCGGTATAGTGCAGAGCGGCGGGCGAAACCAATCGTTCTTGAAATACCCAGCCTCGTTGAGAGAGCTCTTTCTCTTCCAGATTCAGGATTTTGATTGAACCACCAGCGTAAATCGTCTCGCAGTTGCTATGAGAGTTTGAATGGCTCCAGACTTCGACCCTAAGGTTTTGCTCCGGACGGGTTCTCAGTGTTCCCGCCCGATTTGACCCAGAGCTGCTCGCCGAGATGTTTAAAGCTGACATTCCATAAATCGCGGTCATCTGTTCGGACTGCTGAAACCAGTCAAGCTTGTTTCCCTGAATGATACAGAGAGAATCAATCCAGATATACCGGAAACCGAGGATCTTTGCGATGACCACGCCATCCCTCAGCGTCTGTGGGAAGGCCTTGAGAGTGATGCCTTTGTGTCTCTCTTCCAAATTGCCCTCGCGCGTTTTTAATGGATGGTCTTCGCCCCACTTGTAGGACATCGTTACAAAAGGAGTGATCTCGCGCTGCGTGACATACAGCTTGATCCCCGAAAGGTCGTCGTCTGACTTTCCAAGATCTACCACTCAGTTTGGAAGAGAACTGGAAGCTCGCACACACTTTTCGTGTCTGTTCATACAATCATCGACCCACTTCTTTGCTTGCTGAAAAGCTGCGTCAGACCCCGGATCTGGATTTGGAAGCACGTGCAGTGCTGCGTACCGTGCAGCCTGCTGATTGCTGGAGAAGGGCAGGCTGATCTTGATTCCATTTCTCTGGAAGAAAACAATTGACTTGTGTCGATGTTTCTATTCGCTGATATCGCTGATATGGGCCACAGATCCGATGGCAACACCTATGGCAACCTCGAACTCGGACTCCTGAGGCCCTGTTCCCCGGAAAAGATGGAATAGGTAGACATGGATTCAATTTCAACAGCGGCGTTGGGCTCTTTTGCCAGAATATGACAAAGACCACAAAAGCGATTGGCAGATTACCGGAGAGAACCTAGAGAATTATCTAGATGGGCTTTTCAAATGGGTCAGAGTGATTTGCTCGGATTGAATCGTCTCCCACCGGCCATCCAGTAGATCTAGGCCTAAGATGATGTCTGTGAAGAGCAGCTGACAGTCTTTGCAAAGCCTATGGTCCGCCTTTACAACAACGTCTGGGAAGTCACACTTGCTCGACACGGGTTGGTTGGCAGGCACTCTTGCGGCAGGCATGTCTAGTGGAGTGGTCTCATTCTCTCGATACGCTGCGGAACTAGTTTACATGAGATTCCCGAAGTGGCAAGACAATATCAGGTTTGACCGTGGATGTTCTGAGGTTCCGTATTTCTACGTCCAAGGTACCTCTCGCAGGGTATTACGTTGCTCCGTGACGGAGCAAGGCTGGCAATTAACTGACACAGCCGGGCGAAAGTTCCACCGAAGAAATATGGTGGGCCGAATGAACGCTAAACGCAGTCTGGGCAGCCCGAGTTTGAGGCTTTTCTTCGAGTATCAGCTAGCGTTTATTTCTTTAATTCCACGCCTATGGCATGATTTCAGCTTTTTGCATCTATGTATGGTTTTGGGCCCCTTTTGGATACGATTACAGGTGCTGGCGACCGCTCAAAGTAGGGGAGGAGGGAGGGCGGAGTTAACGCTTCAGTATCTGTCGTGTGGCAGATAGAGTCGGCGCGCACCATGCTATCACGACCTCTTCTCCCCTGCGGGAAGCACAAACTCTACAATGCTTTTGGCCTTCCTGCAATAAAGTCCTCGTACAGGAACCGGTTTCATCCGCAGCTCCGTGTATACTCATTCAGCCAGTCAACGTTCTCGAGGCGCGAGGATGACTCTAAGAAAGCTGTGCCAGCCACCAAGTTTGCGGAAGCACCTCGAAGCAGAACGGAAAGCACGGAGGCCCCCAAGCCAGAGTCTCTACAACAGAATGAAACTCTCAAGGCTGAACCAGAGCCCGTCAAGAAAGAAGCTCTCCTCGCGGAGAAAGTGATTTCCAACAAGGAGCAACGAAAAGTTGACCTGGCTATCATGAAGGAAATGGTCCAGTATCTGTGGCCCAAGGGAGACTGGGGGACCAAATTACGGGTTGGTACCGCGTTGGGCCTTTTGGTTGGAGCCAAGATCCTCAACGTTAATGTTCCCTTCTATTTCAAAAGCATTGTGGACTCTATGAACATTGATTTTCTCGCCGTCGGTGGCACCGCCTGGACAGTGGCAGGATCGATGATAGTTGCATATGGTGCGACTCGCATTGGCGCAACGTTGTTTCAAGAGCTACGGAATGCTGTCTTTGCCAGTGTCGCTCAGAAGGCCATCCGAAATGTGGCGCGCAATGTCTTTCAGCATCTTTTACGGCTAGACCTGAATTTTCATCTGTCAAGACAAACCGGTGGATTAACGAGAGCTTTGGACCGCGGTACCAAAGGAATCAGTTTTTTGCTAACGTCCATGTTATTCCACATTTTCCCGACCGTGCTGGAGATTTCGCTGGTTTGCGGCATCTTGACATATCAGTATGGGGCCCAATTCGCTGCGATTACGGCAGCCACAATGGTCGCATACTCGGCATTTACAATTACTACGACTTCATGGAGAACCAAATTTCGCAAGCAGGCAAACGCCGCAGACAACCAAGGAGCTACAGTGGCGGTTGACACGCTGATCAACTACGAGGCGGTCAAATATTTCAACAATGAGAAATTCGAAGTCAATAGATATGATGCCGCCTTGAAGAAGTATCAAGATGCTTCTATCAAAGTCACCACGTCGTTGGCTTTTTTGAATACCGGTCAGAATGTGATCTTTTCGAGCGCCCTCGCGGCCATGATGTATATGGCGGCGAACGGGGTGGCAAGTGGCTCATTGACGGTTGGAGACTTGGTCATGGTCAATCAACTTGTTTTTCAATTGTCGGTGCCGCTGAACTTCCTGGGTTCAGTCTATCGAGAACTTCGACAGTCCCTGCTCGATATGGAGACCTTGTTCAATTTACAAAAAGTCAACGTGACGGTCAAAGAGGTTGCGAATCCGAGGCCGCTTGCGTTGACAAAGGGAGGCGAGATCAAGTTCGAAAACGTTACGTTCGGCTACCACGCTGATCGACTGATTCTCAGAAACTTGAGCATGACCATACCAGCGGGTAAAAAGGTTGCCATAGTCGGACCCAGTGGATGTGGGAAATCGACAATTCTCCGATTGCTGTTCCGGTTCTATGATGCCGACTCGGGCAAGATCCTGATTGATGGACAAAACATCAGGGATGTCGGTTTGGATAGCTTACGACGAAGTATCGGTGTCGTGCCACAAGACACTCCACTATTTAACAACACCATCGAGCACAACATCCGGTATGGCAACGTCGACGCGTCCTTGGATGAAGTCAAGAGTGCTGCGAAACGAGCGCATATCTTCGATCTGATTGAACGCCTGCCGGGTGGATGGAATACAATGGTTGGCGAACGGGGCATGATGATCTCTGGCGGTGAAAAGCAACGGCTTGCTGTTGCGCGACTGATTCTGAAAGATCCTCCTCTCTTGTTCTTCGATGAAGCCACGTCGGCGCTTGATACTTATACAGAACAGACGCTGTTGCAAAACATAAACAGCATTCTGAAGGAGAAGGGTCGGACCAGCGTTTTCGTGGCGCATCGACTTCGCACCATCTTTGACAGCGACATCATCTTCGTTCTCAAGGAAGGCCAAGTTGTTGAACAAGGCACTCACGCCGAGCTGTTGGCACGCGAAGGACTTTATGCTGACCTCTGGGCAGCCCAAGAAGTCTCAATCGGACAAGACATGCCCCTTGAACGGTCACTGGAAGAAAAACGCCAGACTGACGAAAAGGAGACCTGATCTTCACTGGAACAGTGCCCGAACGTGGCTGCCCTGAAGGTACTCCGTAGTTTGCTGGTCTAATCGTTTTCGGTTGGTTTGATGACATTGTCTTGGATAAGGTTTGAAAAGGAGAGCGCTTACTATTCGGTCCTCCACAACACCAGACGGCAGGACGCGGGGTCTAGATGTGGCCCCTTGGGTTCACGCGTGGAGAGAGAGCAGAATTCTTTGGCTGGCACAGTTAGGGCGTACCAGAAAAGGAGAGCGGCTGTCCCTGGAAGAGAGCTTCTCGTCGACATTATCTTCGAGAACACCAGGCGAGACATAGCGATCCCCAAGACGCAGGTGGGATGGACTATTGCGAGAGGAGGAATTTCGACAGACCCTCACTATCTTCCAGGTTGCCAGGGAAGCGAGATGATTGACACAACTGGAGGACAGGGGGGAGACGAATTTCTTTTTCGCACGTGGCGCCAGATTGTGGTATCGGATCCACTTTGTAGAGAGCGCCCACAGCTGCATGCAGCCTAGCGAGAAGCCCCCGAGTGCCGATCCCTCCCGACGTGTTCGATATCTCGGAGAAAGAAAGCCAAACGGTTGTGGAAAGCCCACGAGGAACGAATGGTAGAGGAGTATAGGTATGGGTACAGGTGCGATGGCAGGACAGGTAAGTTACCACCTCTCGATAGACACGCGGGCCTCTCGCAACTCGCTCAGTCAATGAATCAATTATCTCTCCAAGTCAAGTCTCTCTGCACTGGTTCAGTCCATGCTCATCGTTTGCGCGAGTAGTCTTCGACCCCTTCGATGGAAGTTTCTCCATGCATGTCAAGGGCCAAGGCTAGCAAATCCGTCGAAATGGATTCTGGGCTCGTCTAGATGGTACCACCAATAGCAATAGGCGCTAAGCCCGCTGGAGACTCCAACAGAGGAAAGCTAGGTGGCCGATTGCGACTCTAACGGGCCAAGCTGCCCTAACGCTTAACTAAAGTCCTTAAAGCCTTTAACCATGAGCCCGGAGAGATTGCGCTGGCCACATGCCCAATGCCACAACGCTGGCCGGCTCCCTTTCGCCATCCGTTTCCAGCTCCGTCCAAATTGCGGCCTCGAACAGTCCTCCGTCCTCGATAAAATCAAATGGAGCTCCCACCACGACTTGCAGTCCTGCAAGCGACATCCTACACACATACTCGGGACACACTCTCTTTCAAGACCCCGTCGACCAACTCCAGCAGTCACTCCTTTAACCGCCTTTCTTTCAGCTTGCAGCCCGTCGTTCTGGAGCCCTCAAAATAACCTTTGATTCTACTGCATGTATGCTACGCTCCGCTCGTTTCAGAAATTTAAGAGCTTGCATTAGGCCCTGCATACCACAGACTTCCGGCGAACTCAGGCGCATCACGATATCCCGCTCGCTCACCAGCCTGCTCGATTTCGCGTTGAGAAGAAGTCCGGAAAATCCGAGAAAACGGCTCATCTGACCCGTGTCAGGCGCTCGCTGCGAACACTGTACATAAGACATCATTGGGGCCCGCTGTCTCCGCGACTGCACCCTCGAAACCTTTCCCCGCTGGGAACCGAAGTATCCGAACGGACAAGGTGCGAATATCAAGGGCACAGGCCTCTGAACGAGCAAGGACTGTCGTTTCCGACCTACTACAGAAGGACGCACGCGAGGATTCCACCTCTCTATACCAGGCCGGCAGATTTTGAAAATAGAAACAGGGCGCTGCCTGTATAAAAAAAGGCCATTGGCGTAGATCAGCTTACACCAAGGCTCGCTACTATCCAAAGGCACTCAGCCTCCGAAAAGCCCATAAGGATCACCACACCTCGACTTTGACAGACGTTGGAAAAAGGCCATCCACACAGAAAATGGGTCTCTTCGACAAGCTACAGTCAAGTAAGAGCGCCCTCTTCCCTGCACGCTGCTACGCAGCCAATTGTTCTCATTGCGCATTGATCACGGACAGAATGTTCAACTGATCTTTTCCCATCACAGAACTCGAACTCTACCGCCTCGAGCAGAAATACGCGCGCCGCAAGAACCGGACGACCTTCACCACAGGCGCCGTATACCAGGACGGCGAATACTTCTACACGGGCGCCGCCGACGCGAGAAGTCCGACCATGTCCACGAACTCGACAGGCAATTCCAACAACAGCTCCGCAAGTAACAAGAGGAGGTCGCAGATGTGGGTGCCACCCGAGCAACGGAGATGATTACAACACAAGCAACATGGGCTGGCCGCTCGCTGTGGTCTTTTTCGCTTCATGTGAATATTTTCCAGATTTGGTCTTGGGTTGAGCATAGCACTGGCGTTTGTCTTGTGAGGGGCTTTTTCTCTCTCTCCGTGTCGATGCCCTGTCTTTCTCTCTTTTTTAACAAGAAGTATGTATTTTCGAGCGTCCGGGTCGGATGAGCAGCAGCGGCAGCAGGGTCACGAATTGGACTGGGAAGATCCAAGAAGGAAAGAACGAGCGGCTGGGAATTAGACGTTCAGGTTATGGTGGCTAGGGTTAGCGATTGAGCACTGTGCGAGGGAGGCCTCCGTCAGGAGGAGGGGGGCGCAGATCGGGCCATCCATTCGGCCAAAGTCAGTGTATCATCCATCATACAAGACATGTCTACTGTGCGAGATCAGATACTCGTCGGTCAAAGCATGATTAGAACAAGAAAAGGAAGATACATACAAGTAGACACTCGGTACTCGTCACGTTCGTTGGTGCCGCCGCCATGTTCATCTGATGCGTGCGCACGTGCGTGCGGGCGCGTACATGGCGATCAGTCTCTCGCCCCCTCCGATGCCGCCAGTACGTGCGAGTTACTCGCATAGACACCTACAGGCATACATACAGTACATACATCCATGGCGAGCTCGCCGGCCATCCACGGCGCGCGTCTCACGGTGCCTCCTCGCAGACCACGCGACGGTCACCGTCGTGTCCGAAGGCCGAACCCATTCGATCCAAGTCCAAGCTCAAGCCCCAGTGCGAGTCCACAACTTCCAAGCGCAATCATCGAAATCCGGGACAAGGCTGAGCGAGCGAGCGAGCGAGCGAAGAACCGCTTGCCCGTCCCCTCTCGTTCTTTCTCTCACTCTCTCACACTCTCTCGGTGAGTCAAGTTGCTAGGCAACGTCGTCTTCGTGTTCGGCTACTAAATGCTATGCTATGCTATGTTGTGCTATACCGTGATATGCAACGCTGCTTCACCTGAGCCTTACCTACGCCCCCGGCATCACACCCAATTTGTCTCCGATAATTATTTAAAATACCACATACCAAAGTCCATCCTTCAGTCAGTCCGTCAGTCCGTCCGTCCGGATGGCTGACCATCCATGCATTCTCTTTTCCATTGCCGAGACAAAAAGGAGAGGGTTGCGTCCAAAATACACTTCCCAAAAACTAGATCGCTCGACAGCCACGCATTCTTATGCAGGTCATGACGGGATCCCCTTCCCCCCCTCTTCCACCTCTTCACCTCTTTAAGCGGCCCATGTCCTCATTGTCCAAGGCTGAGACGTCTTGCACGCCCCCGGTGCCGTTATCAACTTGGCCTTACTTCTTCTTCTCCCTGTCCTTATTCCCCCCAGCTCTGGCAATCCCACTTGCAAACTTCCCGAACCCTCCTGCGAGACTATGACCTCTCTTGTGCGGTCCAGTTCGTTCTTCCCCTGCGCCCGCGGCTCTAGCACCAGGGCCAGCGGCACCTCCTCCACCTGGTACTGTAACCGTCAACCCACTGCCCGCCTTGACCAGCCCTGACCCGGTCCCGGTTGCGCCAACACCGCTCAAGGGTCTGCCGCTATGCAATTTGTGCCCCGTTCTGAATGCATCGCCATCTGTTGCTCCACCAATACCGCCATCTCGTAAACTCGCACGGCTCGACCGACCGACATCATCAACTGCGCTCGGTATCGCAGACCTAGGTGTTTCTGCATCGAGGTCTCCCCGGAGGAGCCTCTCGTTTCGGCGTCTTGCACGTTCCTGGGTCTGTTTGAACTTGTCAAGAAGTTCAGGCCATTTTATCTCGGTTGCGCCGAGGGACGATGTGGCATCACGCGTTCGCGACAGACGGGAGGCGACGGTGCTGTTTAGGGCGCCAGTGCTTGCAGCGGGGAGAGAGGAGGAAGAAATCCCGGAGACGACTCTAAGAGGTCACGAAAACAGGTTAGAGCGATGTTCAAGCGGGGGACGACGAAGAGGGTAGGAAATGGAACGTACGACGGTCTAGCGGAAGTCGGCATCGACGGCGGCGTATGCAACAGTCCTATGGCGGAGACACTGTTGAGGCGGTTCTTCAAGGCGCCGAAGGCGGAGGATTGAGGAAGCAACATCAGGAGACCGTAGAGACATTTGTAGAGGTAGGGGTAGCGGTCGGGTTCGAGGAGTTGGAGCCGCAGATCTGTGGATTTTCCACATCAGTGAGAGCCTCGCCCAACAACAGGTTGCGAAAGGAGTGCATCGAACTTACAGGTAAAAACTGGACTTTCTAGTAACTGCACTAGCTTGTCGATTTGGATGAGCATGTTGACCGTCATTTCCAAATCCGCAAATATCTGTAGGAGATTGTAGGCCTGTTCGTACGCCTGGGCCAAAAGGCATAGCGAGAACGTAGCCACAGCATTGTGGCACCACGCGCGAAACAGTGCCACAAAGAACATCTGTCCCTCTTTGCTGTCCGGATTTCGGAGCCTCTTCCTCAGCTCGGCCAGTTCGGGTGCTGTGATGAGGTTGTTGTTGAGATTCTGGACCATGATGCTGGCGAACTCGATGTCTTCGTCCTTTTCGATGCAGTCCGCCAATGTCCTATAGATACGTTCAGGTTGGAGGTTGATGCACAATTGACGAATAATCAAGTTGCCACGGATCTCGAGCAGCTTCCGGTCTGTGGAGAAGAGCTGCAGCAAAGCCACCATGAAGGATGTGAAGTATCCGTCTTCGCTGTTCCTGGAGATCTGGGAAAGGAGTTGAAGGTCGCGTGTCACGACCGCTTCGGCCGGGTCTGAAAGCGTCTTGAGCAGCGCTGGGAAGGTTCCATCGTTGAAGGCAAGGACTTTCTTGGGGGCCTTTCTATGAAGCATGATCAACCAACTCAACGCCGCTACGCGTGTCTCTTCGTGCTCGTTGAGAAATTGTAGCGTCAACGCATTCACTGCTGCCGCGTAGTCGAGGTCTGCGATAGGTTGCGGAGACGGCGCTGCGGTAGACCTGGGAGTGACCTCTGGGGGCGATTGCTCTATCTCAGAGGGGCCCTCTGGTGATATCTCGCTTCGACCGTCTGCTTGAGAAGGCACACCCTTGCTCGTTCCCGCTGATTGTCTTTTTTCGGATCCATCGCCATCCCGCGTCGTAACGCTGGCTAGGGTGCTGGACCCGTGTGCACTTTGGTCCTCAGTCGACAACTCATCCTGAAAGGTGACAATATAATCCATCAGCGACCTGTTGACCTTGCTGGCAGTTGTTCTGACTTGCTCCGATTGCGCCGACAGTGCTGGCAAAACACGAGACAACAGACGAGGCACAAACTGCAGAATTTCTTCCGGGCTAATCTCGAAGAAGCTGTCGATCCATCGCAAGGCGACGATTCCGATCTCTTCTTCCTTTTGTTTTGACAAGCCCTCAAGTCGCAACTGTGGCGCTGATTCTTTACTGGACGAGACGTCGACAAACTTTAGCAGGATGTCAAGAATTTGTGCGTAATCCACCTGTACGTCCTGTCCGGGGATCCAATCACCGTCGCGCTCCCCAAGTTCGTTGAGTTCGTCTTGGGCGGTTCCCGATTCTGAATCTTCGATGGCATTGTCGTTTGATTGACTGCCACGACCTGTGGCACTGCCCGCATCAGACCCAAGCCTGCGGTTGCCGGCTCGACTTCGACGACTTTCAGCGATACCACGCTTGATCTTTGCGATTTTCTTGATTTCGTTAAGGAAGCGCTCCAGCAGTCCCTGCGTTGCGACATACACGTCACGGTTGGGATCTCCGAGGAATTTGAAGAGGCCTCCAAGAAAAGCTGGTAAGTAGTGGACAAGCTCCAAATCCGGAATAGTATCCAGGAGCGTCAGCCACGAAACCAAAAAGGTGCGAGTAAACGGGTTGATGACATGAATGCGCTCTTCAAGAAGGGGAATGAACTTTGCGAGGGAGAAGGTCGTGGGAAGCTCGGCGCTTTCCTTGTCGGGCTCGAGTTGTTCGCCGTCTTCGTTGAAATTGAGGACTGAAACGTAAGAGGCTGCAGACTCAGAAACGATATCCTTAATCAGACGGTCGAGGAGCTCAGCACCGTTCTTCACCGAGAGCTCTGAGTCGGCCGCAAGCTGTTTGGTACAGGGTTAGTGGCGAACTAGAGTGGACAGAGGTCAAGTCATGCCTTGCATAATGCATCAAAGATGTCGTTGAAGAAAACTAGAATCTCTCCTTTGGCCACCTTCGCAATGTTGTACATAGCCTCGCAGGCATAATAGCGTACGCGGGCATCTTGGTCGGTAAAGCATGCAAGAACAGGTGGAACAATATCGGATAGATAGCGCGCAACTTCGTCCTAGAGGCGCGCGGGTATCAGCAATGGCCGACCCGCATCATGTTGGCGGACCAGACATACAGAGCCCAAGGCGATGGAAGCAGCTGCTAGACCAATGAGTCCTCCGTTGCGGGCGTGTGGAAGGTGCACGGCATAGGCATAGTCGTGACACAGTTGATCGATCGTCTTCCGGATCTTGTCGTATTCTTTGGTGGCACTAGCCTCCCTGATGAAACGCTCGAGCCTCGTGGGAATCAGTCACAGCCACAAATATCTCGATGAGCGGTTGGATCATACTCGAGTGCCCCCTGCTTTCTTTTGTCGTAGAGTTTGTCAGTAAGCAGACGTTGGACTGCGGGATCCATGGCGATCTATCGACGGAGTGAGGCGGGTTTTCAAGATCATTATCGAATGGGCGGTATAACGCCTCGGTGGCACCAAGATGCAGTAGTTTGAAGGGCCAACTTCGGATGCTGGGATGAGAATTCTGGTCCCAGGATGATCGAGAGACTCTGTCCAGCCTTTGATAGCTATTCAGAGATGTTGGTCGAGTGGAGTGAGGGCTTTGTGGTTGATGAACAAACGCGTCGTTGTGCAGGGTCCAGGGGCCGAAGCACCATGAGGGCTGTCACCGTCACCACTCACGACTCACCTTCCCTCTTTCCGCCACAGCGACTCGATTGGCCCAAACACCACG